CATCATTACACTGTATGTTCTTACCGCTGGCTATCTAATCCAGTATCAAAGTGAGCAAGTCTGGTTGCGCTGGATCTTTTACATCAACGCCCTCGGTTTAGGATTTGCCGCTTTGATGGTGAACGAGTTCAAACGAATTACTTTGACTTGTTCCACCTCGTCTCTAGTACCCTCTTATGGTGACATCGCTCATCAAACATGTACTCTCCAAGGAAGTTCCCCGGGTTCAAACATCATTTCAGGTTCCGCCTATCTCAGTGCCGGCTTCAGTTACGAGACCGGAGATCTTTGGCGTAACTTTGGAATCATTGTGGTATTGATTGCTTTCTTCTTGTTCACCAATGCTTATTTGGGAGAATCCGTGAACTGGGGTGCAGGCGGTAGAACTATTACCTTCTATCAGAAAGAGAACGCCGAGCGGAAGAAGCTGAACGAGGAATTGATTGCTAAAAAGCAGAGACGTCAGAATAAGGAGGCAGTCGATTCTTCCTCAAATTTGAATATTACCTCAAAAGCAGTTCTAACCTGGGAGGGCATTAATTACGATGTACCAGTACCATCTGGCACCCGTCAATTGCTGAACTCGGTCTATGGCTATGTCCAGCCGGGCAAGCTGACCGCTTTAATGGGACCATCTGGGGCCGGAAAAACAACACTATTGGACGTGTTGGCTGCTCGAAAGAGTATTGGCGTTATCACGGGAGATATTCTAGTTGATGGCCACAAGCCTGGAGCATCTTTCCAGCGTGGTACCTCTTACGCAGAACAGCAAGATGTGCACGAGCCTACTCAGACCGTACGGGAAGCGTTGCGCTTCTCCGCTGAACTTCGTCAACCTTATCACGTGCCGTTAGAAGAGAAACATGCTTACGTTGAGGAAATCATATCTCTATTGGAATTAGAGATATTAGCAGATGCGGTTATTGGATTTCCAGAAATTGGTTTATCTGTGGAGGAACGTAAACGAGTGACCATTGGTGTGGAACTCGCCGCCAAACCTGAGCTTTTGCTGTTTTTGGATGAGCCCACGTCAGGTCTTGACAGCCAGTCTGCCTTCAATATCGTACGCTTCCTGCGCAAATTAGCCGCAGCTGGTCAAGCTATTCTGTGCACAATTCACCAACCTAACTCGGCCTTGTTTTCAAGCTTTGACCGATTGCTTCTATTACAGAGGGGCGGCAATTGCGTTTACTTTGGCGACATTGGTGAAGACAGTCGTGTCCTGATCGATTATTTCCGGCGCAACGGGGCCCAATGTCCTCCAAACGCAAATCCCGCTGAATGGATGCTTGATGCTATCGGTGCTGGCCAAACTCCTCGAATTGGAGATCGTGATTGGGATGATATATGGCGTGAATCTCCCGAACTGGCTCAAATCAAGGAAGATATTACGAAAATGAAGAATGAACGTGCGGCACAGAATAGATCAAGTGAGAGCTCTTCTCAAGAGGTTGAGTACGCAACGCCTACCTGGTATCAGATCAAAACTGTCGTTCGACGGACGAACTTGTCCTTCTGGCGATCACCGAATTACGGATTTACCAGGTTATTTGTCCACGCGGTTATTGCACTTCTCACCGGTCTGATGTTTCTCCAGTTAGACGATTCACGGTCTTCTCTTCAGTACCGTGTTTTCGTTTTGTTCCAGATAACCGTCATTCCGGCCATCATCATCCAACAAGTGGAGCCCAAGTATGAGCTCTCACGACTGATTTCTTATCGGGAGTCTGCATCGAAGACCTATAAATCACTTGCGTTTGCAATTGCTATGGTAGTGGCAGAAGTTCCGTACAGTCTACTCTGCACAGTAGCTTTCTTCTTGCCAATTTACTATATCCCAGGCTTTCAGAGTGCTTCAGACCGTGCCGGATATCAGTTTCTCATGGTTCTTATCACTGAGTTCTTCGCAGTCACATTGGGTCAGATGGTTGCAGCAATCACGCCAAGTTCATATATCTCCGCCCAACTCAATCCCCCTCTGATCATCACCTTTGCGCTGTTTTGTGGTGTGGCCATTCCTAAACCTCAGATTCCCAAGTTCTGGAGAGCATGGTTGTATCAACTTGACCCATTCACCCGACTAATTGGTGGTATGGTGGTGACGGAGCTACATGATCGTGAAGTCGTCTGCAAAAATTCGGAACTCAATACCTTTTCTGCGCCTGATGGTCAAACTTGTGGTGAATACATGGCTCCTTACTTTGCAGCGGGCGCTCCGGGCTACCTTGTCAACAATGCAACAAACACTTGTCAATACTGTGCTTACAAGGTTGGAGATCAATTTTATGAAGCCTTTGACTTGAGTTATGATAATCGCTGGAGAGATTTGGGTATTTTTGCTTGTTTCATCGTCAGCAACATCGTCATTCTTTCCCTCGGGGTGAGTAAACTATCTTATATGTTTAATTACAAACCAACTAACAGTACTGCTAGGCACGATACCTGAACTTCAATAAGCGTTGAGCTATGTGTAAACGAGAAAGGAGAGGTGGAACCAGATTAAATAGAGAATAGAGACATTTTCATGATTCCAAAGTAGTCTGCTCTTGATGCGCTCTAAAGACGGAGCAAGCTGAATTAAGTATGCCTAGTTAAATCGGTCTAGAGTGCTCTAGCCGAGTAGATGGGTATGCAGTAGAGCCTGTCTATGACGAATGGAAGGCCTCTCAGGACCCAAAACAATATATCCAGAAGTGAGTTCGATTTAGTGATAAAGGGCACTTCTAATACATTGATCTATTTTAGTATTAAGAAATCAGATGCTCTTCTGTTCCCTATCAAAGTCATCCAATGATCCAAGCTGATATAGCGGATGTAGAGCGGTCTTCCTTTCGCGATCTACTACTGTACAGTTGTACTACTACTTTTGATTTATCTCTCGAGACACCACTGTTTAACTAGATAATCGCAAGAAACCACATTATTTCTAGTAGGAAGGTTTGCTTCATCGTACTTGGTAGGGTTTCCACAGTCGTTGACGAATTTCTACTTAATCTAGTAATTTCGTCAATTAGAGTTCGCCATATGAATGTCACAGGATTACTAGTCCCCTACAAAATATAGGTCGACCTGTCATAGTCATAATCATGTCAGCATTGGCGTCAACATAGCCGACATCCTTTCTACCTAGGTAAATGTATACGAAGTTCACGAAGAATCTTGGACATACTGCGAATCTCAATACGAACGACACAAGTCACTCGGAGTCTGTCAAATAATCCAGATTAGAAACGAGGCAGAGAGATCCGACGTTCGATCTTACAGGTCTAAAAAGGCACCTTAGGGCATATGTCTGCGCACCTAGATTTCAGCCCAAAATTTACCCCTCTTGATGACTCACAAATCACCCCGCCAAAAGTGTCTATAAAAGACCCGGCTTTGAAACCTGATGGATAGAGAGACAGAGAACAAAAAAACATATACTATCTTGCTAGTCACTTCTTTTCTTTTCATCCCAGTAAAACCCTCTTCAGGATTGGCCTGGAATAAACCTACTAATCCGACAGAGTCTCGAACTAAGTCCTGTCGGATTGTTGGGTTTGCTCCAGGTCAATCCTGAATAGTATCTTACAGGGATGTAAAGAAGAAAATGACTAGCAAGATTGTATGTATCCCGTTCTCTCTGTTTTGTCTTTCACAGAAAAATGGTTTTCTTATATGTGCTCGGCACGGGAATTGTGCTCAATTCCCGGTCATTCCCCATGATCTATGATGATGGGCTAGAGAGAGAGGGTGATATTGAGAAGTCTAGGTATCTGAGATCCGTGGTATGCGAGGTTGATGTCCTCGCTACGATCACGCTAGGCCCAATGCGGTACCGACGTCTACCTGTATGACGGGCAGTCCCGTGAATCTAAATATATGTAATTTGATGATGGGCTAGAGAGAGTGATATTGAGAAGTCTAACTAACTATCTGAGATCCGTGGCGTGCGAGGTTGATGTCCTTGCTACGATCACGCTAGGCCCAATGCGGTACCGATGTCTACCTGTATGGCGGTGGTCCCGTGACCCCCCCCCCCGTAGACGCGGCATAATGAAAATGAAGTTAAAGTACACATAGAAAGGAAACTCGGGAGGCACAACTTGGTGTTGAGAAAATCTCGTAAACCTCACAACCATGAAAAATCAACATGCCTCCACTCCAATTTGATTCCGGAATTTGTCGAATAGCTCCGTCGTGAGCGCCTTTGTAAATCCGTCTGCGGGGTTTTCCTTTGTGTCGATTCTCTTAAGAATAACCTCCCCTTTGTCGATTAAATCCTTCACAAAGTGGTAATGGATGTGTAGCCATCTCACTGCTTAAGCAGTACCGGGTTTGTGTGACGCCGTCATCGCGTTATTGCTATCAGTGTAAACAACTAAGGGTTCTCCTTTCTTCACCAATCCTAGGCTTATCAGTATATTTTGTATCTATAATCCTTGTCTTATCCCACTTCCTACTCCCAAGTATTCAGATACGGTCGATGACAGGGCGACGAGGGTTTGCTTTGAAGAGTTCTATAAGATCGGTAATCTAGCATAGAAAATGATAAATCCCTCAGTGGATTTACCATTAGGGTAATCAGCGTATGAGGAATTGATGTACACCTTGAGTCCTTTGCTAGGGTCTTTGTTTAACATGATATTATACTTTTTGATGTCTTTTAAATAGCATAGCACTCCCTTTCTAGCGACATAGTCGTACTTTGTGGGATCGTGTTACTTATGCTGTAAATAGCATATGGTAAACATGATATTAGGTCTAGTTTTTGATGTTAACCAGTTAGCCAATCCTGTGATCTTTATAAACTTTTCTTTCTTATCATTAGTAGCTTTTAGGTTATTTGATTCTAGAGTAAATTTGGGTTCTAAGGATAGGGAGCGGGGATAGGAATCCACCATGCTAAAATAGTTGAGAATGCCATCAACATAGTCTGGTTATTCCAATTTAATTATATTCTTCTCGTAGTGAACATTGATGTCAAGAAAACGCTTTGGTTCACTAATTTGCTTAACTCCTCATGCCTTGTCGAAAGTGTCAAGAATTCTATCGATTTGTGCCTCGCACTTACCTATAATAAGATTATTATTGATATAGAGTGCAATGGCCATGCTGTCGCTTTCCTATATGAAGATGCATAATTCCTTGTTAATTAGTTTGTAACTTAATTCTTTTAATTTTGAACTTATAATGTCATACCATAGGACTGCCAATCCACATAGGCTATATAGTGCTTTTAGTAAAGAGCAAACCATTCCGTCAATAATATCGACACTTTTTAGTTATTCTATAAGGACCTAGCATTGCTGCAGCATCGCGTGTAAATACGTAGTAAGAATGTCTGCTTGGAAGATTTTGAGGCCGTTCTTGATGCAATAAGTGAGGAAAATCTTCACTCCAACGTCGCTGACCACTTGGTATCATTGTGCTCGATCGACTCATATACGGTTTCCAGACTCGTGATGCCATCAACCAAGGCTTGTTCGTTGTTCATGATTTGAGCTTGCTCCTTGATGAGAGCTTTTTATTGTGAGATTTTCTTCTAAATTATCTCAAGAGCCTCTTCCATTGTAGCATCGACTGACCCCTCCGCTTCTGCATTAAAAAATTCTTCTTAATTACTCTCATCCGCGTGATCTTACTCATGAGTTTGCTCTGGGGTTGTGCTCAGAGTTTCTGCTCTGCCTGTCATGTACGCGTTCTGTTCGAAGTCATAATAATTGCTGTTTAAGATATCTTCAATTATGAGATTCTTATTAGTGATTATGATATATTTCTGATTCTTCTCGATAGGATCTTTATGGAAGATGATTGTGAGTAGTTTTGACATCTCAACCTTTATCGTAGTAGGTGTCGGGTCCTCGATCTCATTAATTATGCTATCTTCTAGACCTTCCTAAAAAGTGACGTCTTGTGAAAATTTGACGTCTCCTGTTGCTGGAAATTAAATCTTGTAAATATGACTGTGATCGCCCATGTAGCCCATGAGATATCTAATCTCAGCTTTTGGTAGCATCTTGCGTGCCTTTACACAATCTTCCTCTGGTATGTGCATGTAGGCTTTGTAACCCCATACATGCAAATATTCAAGATGGGGAATAGGATTTGGAAATCCCAATTTCTCACGCTATTATTGTATAGACGCCTTCTCCTATCCTGGCTTGATAAGGCGTGTCACTATATAACACACTGTCTCCACTATAAATAGCTATAAATATTTAGGTAGCCCTGCATCAATCATTATTACTTTTGTAATTTAAGCAAGGTAAAACTGAAGCCATTTAATTAGTCTATTTGGTTCAGGGGTTCATATTGGAGATTCTCTAAATTGGATGCTAGTTTAATTTTCTTTAGACTATTTAATAAATCTAAAGAATTCTCGCCCTTAATTTTTTGTAATAATCACTGGCCAACTCCCTGTCTGATTTTTGAACTCTATGCAGTAGTCAATACACTTATCCAAAGCTTCACCTTTTATGACATAGAAACAAACATCTGGTATACACATTTTGTTGTCAAGAAATACTATGAAGTAGTTGTACTTATTAAATTCTGTTAGCTTTATGTGCTAAACATCGACATAGACAATCTATCTAGCTTTTAATGCTTTTGGCAGCAGATCGTGGGACATAATATATTTCAATTTCCCAAGTCTACAGGATTCACAGTGCTTAATCTTTTCTTTGATCGCTTCAAGATTATAAGCCTGAGCTGTGCCCTTATAAATCACGTCGCTAGCATGGCCAAGTTGTTGATGTTGCAACTCTACTGAGATTATAGATAGATTAAGCGCTCCAAATTGAAGCTCTTTCCCAGTTATCATGGTTCTGAGAATTGGGACGCCTTCTACAACTATAGTATGGCCAATAACTGAATCATCATTCATTCTTCATATAGTGTAGTCTTTACTGCAATACCATACTTTGCTCTCATCCTTTGCTCGCTCGCATGCCCAAAGGTTGTATTTTAATCCAGGTACATAGTATATGCGAGTTAAAAGCTCAGCTGGTCTATCCTCACTGTTGTCGAATTATATAAGTGTTGTGCTATATCCCGTAGCCTTTATCTCCATGCTATTGCTGCATTCGTATGTATAGGCTTCATTGTCGTCTTTATATTTATAGATTTCTACCCAGCTTGCAAAATCTCTAACCATGCTGTGTCTAGCGCCAGAGTTAGTAACAAACTTTCTAATAAGGCTTTCTAGTGTGGTCGCTGAGAGTGCCATTGCTAAGGCTTTTAATTTAGGCATATTCTCTTTGTTGATTGGTTATTCAACATGCTCTACAAACGCTTTAGTATCAATAGCTGCGCTATCAATATTTGGCATAATGTTGGATGTGTGTGTGTGTGTGTGTGTGTGTGTGTATATTTAACGGCCGTGGTTCGTGACTCGCACGCTTCCCACCGATCCCTACTGGGACATAGGCCGCCGAGGGGTAAGCCTCGGGTTTCGGGTCCTATCAGGTTTGTGTACAAATAAGAGACTCTTTGGCGCATTTCCATAGCTGCCGTGGTCTTACAGGGAGGTCCACTTTGAGTGGGTTTTAGGTATTTGCCAGCTGCAATGGTCCGCCTACACTCCATGACCTATTACTCCACCACTATTATAACTGAACAGTAAGTTTTGCAGAGAGGGAAAGAAAGAAGAGAAGAGAAAGAAAGAAGGAGAAGAGAAAGAAAGAAGGAGAAGAGAAAGAAAGAAGGAGAAGAGAAAGAAAGAAGGAGAAGAGAAAGAAAGAAGGAGAAGAGAAATATAAAGGAAGAGTAGGGCTGTCTTAGCTAGGTGCTAAGGAGAGGTTGGCGAGGGCAGATATCCTCAAAGAAGTGGGTCTCTGCTAGCCATGTAGCTAGCTTTTGTACTCCTTTAGCAGTGCCTAAAAGAAAAGAGATGACCTCAGAAGGGGGCCTAGGAGGCTAAGGGGCTTGTCTCTTAGCTATATGACAGAAGAAGAAGTGCAGAGATGCTTTTCATGCTCCACATCGGCAGAGAAAATAAGCGTTATCATGGTTGAAGCATTCATGGTAGTCTGTAAAGTCTCCATGACTAGTATGGGCCGCAATAATATAGCCAAGGTTAAGTCGGTTGAGTTGAAGCTCCCCAGGGCGCTTAGGGGAAGTGGTTATTTCTAGATCTTGATAGCTCTGTGGTGCCATCTTCTCCCATTGTGACTGAGCAGCGGATAGGGATTGAGTCTTGGCGTATCTCTTTAGCGAGGCGTATGAGGATTTGTGAGGAGTAGGAGGGATTGAGGCAGCTCCCTCTTTAGCAGTGAGATTAGCTGCTTCGTTCTCAGGGATTTTAGCGTGTCCAGGGACCCATCGGATTTGGATAGATCTGCTTTTGGTGTGAGGAAGCCTTTTGCGAAGTGGCCATGTGGCTATAAGAGTGCGGAAGGATTCAAAGATTTCTTAGGAAGATCCTGTAGAGGAAGATAGAAGGCATACAGCAACTTCTAGGTTATCAAGATAGATCCATAGTGTTGGTTTAACTACGGTCCGTATCACGAAGCATAGACGGTAGTAAGGCGCGAACACGAAGCGGCCTAATGAGCCTGACAATATGAAGATATCTTGATTCCTAATATTGTGACTTGTCCCCAAGAACGAGGGGGACGGGGATAGCTAGCTAGATATACGCGGCACGCACGTGCCGCGTCAGACTAACTATATCCGGTGCCAAAACGTGTAGGGTTTGATATTCACGTTCCGACACATAGATTAGTAGCAAATTGAGCTGTTGGGTATGCTATTACTATTTAAGCGCCAGCTAGAGCTGCTTCTGCTTCTGCGTTGAAGACCTCTTTCCCATGTCCATATAAGAGTGAAGAGTGGAGGAACTGATAGTGTGCTTGGAGTCTAATATAGCCACCCCCTGCATGTCTGTCTGCTAGCCTAGATCCATCTGAAAAGATTACAATATCTGAGCTAGGGATGGTATGTTGAAAAGCCATGAAATTAGCCGCTGCCTGTTCCTTAGTGCGTCTCATAGGAGCTCCTATTTGAGCTTGAGCATTCCCACAAGGCTCGCGAGAGTGCCAGGGAGCATATTGGAGAGGGTTTATCTGTTCAGAGTTTGAGAGGGCCAGTGTATAGCGGGTAAATTAGCTGGTTTGTCGGCCGTTACTAGTGATCTGTTCTGCGCGTCTTCGAAGTGGGTGATAAGGGTCGAGGCGCCGTAGGCGGACAGTTGCAAGGAGGGCTATTCGATCTAGTTCGATTTCTGGTGGAGAGAATCCAGATTCTCGATAAAGGACTGGCTTTGGGGTTGTGCGGAAGACTGGAAGGACTGCTCTTGCGCCTGTTAGTATAGTTTCGCAAGATGTTCTCCAACTCGGTTTGAAATCTGGGAAGGTCCAGGGCGAGTACGTCCTGGCCACCAGATTTCTGCGCCATAGTATGCTTTATGGAGTACACAGGCTGATATAGCCTGCTGTAGTAAATCAGGTTTAACTCCTCGAACAGTATTCCCTAGAGAGTGAAGAGCATTAGCTACAGTGAGGGCTTTAGATGCTATTTCTCTAACGTGCCATTTAAACGTTAGCTTTTTGTCAAAGAGGATTCCTAGCCATTGTAGATATAGCCGTTTAGTGTTTTCTGATATTGTAATAGATCCAGCTTTCACTAAAGGTGTGTGGGTTGGGTCCTGGTCTACTTTATATTGGGAGAAGTGAAGAAGCTCATATTTATCTGGTGCAAATGTAATGCCCTCTGCAGTGTTCTAATTAAGAGCTTCTTGAAGTGAGTCTGATAAGGCTTCGCAATTAGTAGTAAGAGATGTTGAGATTGCTAGGTTAGCTGCGTCATCCGCGTAACCAAACCTGTTCCTTGGGTTTCCTAGATGGAATAGAGGCGCTATGTAGAGTATGAAAAGAATGCCAGATACTGGGGATCCTTGTGGAAGACCGCAGGCAATGTCTGTTGAGGGGCCGATCTCTCTATCGAGTTGGATCTGAACTGATCTTCCAGTAGCGAAGGAGGCAATCCAGAGAATGAGATTGGTAGGCCAGCCCTGCTCGCGTAGTCTGTGGATCAGTCTGCTAGGAAGCACAGAATCAAAGACGCCTTTGACATCTAGGGTAAGGAGTGAGGCAGTCATGCCTTGATTTAGTGCTTGTTCGACATCATGTGTTAGGCATGTGGTTAGGTCAGTTGCAGATCTTAGTGGGAGAGCCCCAAATTGTTGCCTTGCTAATACTTTATAGTATATAGAGATCTATATCATATTCCGTGCTACCAAGCGCTCCAGTCCTTTGCCAAGTACTGATAGGAGAGCGATTAATCTGTATGAACTAGGTGAAGACCAATCAGTCTTTTTTGGTTTCTGGATGATTACTAAGATTGCGTGTCGAAAGCATTTAGGATGATAACCAATCTTTAGGCACCCTTAATATAGTATTAGTATCTTATCTTTGATCAGAGGCCATACTACTTTGAGTATGCAGGTTGGGATTTCATCTGCGCCAGGGGCTGTGTTTCCTGCCTGAAGTACTGACTCCTCCACTTGTAGCATTGATATGTCTGGGAAGTAGAGACTAGTGGAAGGGACTGTTGGGGAGTCTAGAGGTATGTCTCCTGCCTCTGCCGAGTTCTAGAGAAGATTGCGGACTAGTACGTCTTATTTCTCGTGTACAGTAACTGCTGGGAGGCTGTTGGGCCTTAGCGGATCTTTCAGAGGAGGGCTTTGGAAGATGCCTGTAGACTTATGCCATTTGCTTATGTCAAAAACATCCTTCATTTATGTTACTATAGAGAGCTTCTCTTGCCAAAATTGTCGTTAAGACCATCTAGTTATCCTGCGGAAGTCTGTCTTTGAGCAGAGGCCTAAGCAATAATTGTGTAAAGCTTTCTTGCAGTCTTTATTCTACTATAGTTGTCCTATACTTTATGTCATGGTCCTCTTAGCAGAGCCTCTATATGCTCCTTGAATTGCAGATGTCAGTTTTTCAGCAAGGGCATTAAGATCTTCTTCTGTTGCGGCTGAGCTCTCGGTGCCAGCGAGATTAGAGGCGAGGAGCGAGAGGAAGAAGGTGTGGTCTAGTGTGTTAAATCTCAGTTTCTGAGCTATTTCCTTGTATCTCTGATCCTATGGTACAGTGGTGATTAGTGGTTGATGATCTGAGGTTGCATCTAAGTGGCTCGCTATGCTAGTTTTAGCTCCCGCGAGTGTTAGAGGGCTTGAGGCGAAACTGAGGTCTAACATGTTACCCCTTTCATGTGTGGGACAGTCTATGTTAGAGATGAGTACTAGACCCTGGAGGTCCAGCCAGTTAATGAACAGCTCTGCAGAAGGTGTGGGGCTGCGATGTAGCAAGGGCTGCCATCTGTTATGTAGTAGGTTAAGATTGCCTGCAAGTATCGTTGCTTGAGGGAAATATACCTCTGGCAGGGTTGTAAGAGCTTTCGCGGCTTTGCCTGCTCTGATGGAGCCTGCTAGGGCATTATAGATATTAACTATCAAAGCAGACTTTCCTGTGGGCGAAAAAATCTATAGGAATAGGAGATCCGAGGCCTCTTTAGTATCAGTTGTGAAAGGGTGCAGTTGGGAGGTCCGAATGCCTTTCTTCTTTCAAATATAGGTGAGGACTTATAGTCAGCCACTTACCGCCCAACTGTCAGTTGGGGAGAAGCATTCATATGATAGGTGTTTTTTAGTAATCTATTGGCTAAGATCTTTGAATGTATATGGTTCTTGGATTAGGATAATATCAATGTTGCTAGTGTATGCCAATGTAAGAGCTATTTCATGTGCATCTGGCGCGTGCCCTACATTTAACTGTAGGATTTTAAGAGGCGCCTTTTGAGTTGGATAGTGATAGATTATAGCTCCTGTTCAAGAAGAGAGGCAAACTGGTTTTGTGGTTAAGAGGTTATAAAGTGGACTGCACGAGCTATAATTGGAGAATCTTTAGTTAAGGCGCGAGGTGGGGGGGTTACTGAGCGGAAAGGAGAGATAATCTCATGGGTTAAAGGCTGAGATGGCACCTCATCTATTGCCATAGGTGTTTCTTGTATGCCTATGAAGAGCTAAGGGCTACATCCTCCTTCAGTTTGAGCTTTTGCGAGGTTTGTAGCGCAGGATTTGCGGATCTCTATTTGTTGAGCTTTAGTATGTTTAGTATTGCCTCTAGGGCGCAGGAGGTATTCTGAGAAATTAGCTAGATGTGGTCTATAACAGTGTATGCATCTAGAAGGGCATTGATAAGGTTCCAGGGCTGTGCAGCGATTGGCATGGCCCTTTTCAGTATGCTCTGAGGAGCTATATAGCTGGTATCGAGAGGAGCAGGCACAGGATCTTGCATTATACCATTTCTAGCATCATGTGCATTAAATAACTGTTATTTTCTTAGGGAAGTGACGAGCATTGGTGATAGTACTAAAAAGATATAGTTGGATAGATAGTGGTATTTTCATGCCTTCTAGGAAGTTCACAAACCAGCTTAAGAAGAGAGTATCAGGGTTGACAGCGCTTAAAGTGGTCTTGCTAATAGATGTGGGCTTAAGCCCTGTAGTTTCGCTTATTTCTGAGGACAGAAGTGTAGGATTGACAGGGATTAGAGAGTATTGACCGTCCAAGATTTGGCCAACTTTCCTTGGCACATTGGTGACTCAGTACGAGACCCATCGGGAGCTACATTCTATCTAGCAGTTAACAAAGAATGCAGAGATAATCTCTTTTTAGGCCTCAAGGGTTAAGAGGGCTTCTGGGGATGAGGGACATAGTGCAAAACCAGTCTTTATAGCTTGAACTTCTTTTAGTGCTGAACTGTTTAAGTTTAGTTGAGACTGTAGGCTAAAGTAGATAGCGTAGGCTTCTATTTTTCTAGCTGCATGGTCAGCTGGGAGGCGTATGAAAAGCTGGTTGTCAGGAGGGGGTTGTTTCACTAGAGACATAGACTTTTTAATATAGGCTTTGGAGTGAGTAGTAGGAGTTGATTTGACCGGGGCATATTGGGTAATAGTCGCATAAGTCGACTGTTCAAGACCTGAGAGGGGACGTGAGGGAGGGGGTGAAGGGGGTAAGGAATTTGGAGTAGGGGAAGGGGAAGGGGGAAGGGGACAGGGCAGGTAGAATAGAGGTTGTCGAGATACCGCTGATATAGGCACTAAAATGTCATTGAGCTACTGAGGCGAGGTCATCGCTTAGAGTGGTAAGGGCTCTCAGTAGGTGAGGGGCCAGGCCAGTGGTTTGGCTGCGGTGTTTATCAAGGAATGCAGCTATAGGGCTGAAGATCTTCTGTCCTTCAGAAGCTCTTGTCGTGGCTGCGGACGTCGATTCCAGTAGGGCTGTCTGTAGAGGGCCATCTGTACCAGGGCCTTTACGCGCCATAGTGTTGCCGGACGCGTTGAGACGCGTCAAAGGCCGCACTTCTGGTGGCTAGGTGGTAGAGAGGGGTGAGGAGTTTGGGCCTCTGACTGTTTGATATAAACAATTGTAGGGAGTTCGTCTATCTGTGCAAGAGTTCCTTGTGCGTAAGCTTGGCATAATGTTGGATGTGTGTGTGTGTGTGTGTATATTTAACGGCCGTGGTTCGTGACTCGCACGCTTCCCACCGATCCCTGCTGGGACATAGGCCGCCGAGGGGTAAGCCTCGGGTTTTGGGTCCTATCAGATTTATGTACAAATAAGAGACTCTTTGGCGCATTTCCATAGCTGCCATGGTCTTACAGGAAGGTCCACTTTGAGTAGGTTTTAGGTATTTGCTAGCTGCAATGGTCCGCCTACACTCCATGACCTATTACTCCACCACTATTATAACTGAACAGTAAGTTTTGCAGAGAGGGAAAGAAAGAAGAGAAGAGAAAGAAAGAAAGAAGGAGGAGAAATATAAAGGAAGAGTAGGACTGTCTTAGCTAGGTGCTAAGGAGAGGTTGGCGAGGGCAGATATCCTCAAAGAAGTGGGTCTCTGCTAGCCATGTAGCTAGCTTTTGTGCTCCTTTAGCAGTGCCTAAGAGAAGAGAGATAACCTCAGAGGGGGGCCCAGAAGGCTAAGGGGCTCATCTCTTAGCTATATGACAGAAGAAAAAGTGCAGAGGTGCTTTTTATGCTCCACATCAGCAGAGAAGATAAGCATTATCATGGTTGAAGCATTCATAGTAGTCTGCAAAGTCTCCATAACCAGTACGGGCTATAATAATATGGCCAAGGTCAAGTCGGTTAAGTTGAAGCTCCCCAGAGCGCTTAGGGGAAGTGGTTATTTCTAGATCTTAATAGCTCTGTGGTGCCACCTTCTCCCATTGTGACTGAGCAGCGGATAGGGATTGAGTCTTGGCGTATCTCTTTAGCGAGGCGTATGAGGATTTGTAAGGAGCAGGAGGGATTGAGGCAGCTCCCTCTTTGGCAGCGAGATCAGCCACTTTGTTCTCAGGGATTTTAGCGTGTCTAGGGACCCATCGGATTTAGATAGATCTGCTTTTAGTGTGAGGAAGCCTTTTGCGAAGTGGCCAGGCAGCTGCAAGGGTGCGGAAGGATTTAAAGATTTCTTGGGAAGATCCTGTAGAGGGAGATAGAAGGCGTATGGCAACTTCTAGGTTGTCAAGGCAGATCCATAGGTTGATAGCAAATTAAGCTATTGGGTACGCTATTACTGCTTGAGCGCTAGCTAAAGCTGCTTCTGCTTCTACATTGAAGATCTCTTTCCCGTGTCCGTATGAGAGTGAGGAGCGGAGGAACTGATGGTGTGCTTGAAGTCTAATATAGCTACCTCCTGCACGTCCGTCTGCTAGCCTAGATCCATCTGAAAAGATTACAATATCTGAGCTAGGGATGGTACATTGAAAAGCCATGAAATTAGCCACTGCCTGTTCCTTAGTGCGTCCCATGGGAGCTCCTATTTAAGCTTGAGTATTCCCACGAGGCTCACGAGGGTACCAGGGAGCGTATTAGAGAGGGTTTATCTGTTCAGAGTTTGGGAGGGCCAGTATACGGCGGGCAAATCGGCTGATTTGTCGGCCATTACTAGCGATCTGTTCTGCGCGTCTTCGAAGTGGGTGATAAGGGTTGAGACGCTATAGGCGGACAGTTGCAAGGAGGGCTATTCGATCTAGTTCGATTTCTGGTGGAGAGAATCCAGACTCTCGATAAAGGACTGGCTTTGGGGTTGTGCGGAAGACTGGAAGGACTGCTCTTACGCCTGTTAGTATTACTTTAGTTAGTTTCTCAAGATGTTCTCCAACTCGGTTTGAAATCTAGGAAGGTCCAGGGCGAGTATGTCCTGGCCACCAGGTTTCTGCGCCATAGTATGCTTTATGGAGTACACAGGCTGATATAGCCTGCTGTAGTAAATTAGGTTTGACTCCTCGAACAGTATTCCCTAGAGAGCGAAGAGCGTTAGCTACAGTGAGGGCTTTAGATGCTGTTTCTCTAATATGCCATTTAAACGTTAGCTTTTTGTTAAAGAGAATTCCTAGCTATTGTAGATATAGCTGTTTAGTGTTTTCTAATATTGTAATAGATCCAGCTTTCACTGAAGGTGTGCAGGTTGGGTCCTGGTCTGCTTTATATTGGGAGAAGTGAAGAAGCTCATATTTATCTGGTGCAAATGTAATGCCTTCTGTAGCGCCCCAATTAAAGGCTTCTTGAAGTGAGTCTGATAAGGCTTTGCAATTAGTAGTAAGAGAAGTTGAGATTACCAGGTTGGCTGCGTCGTCCACGTAACCAAATCTGTTCCTTAGGTTTCCTAGACAGAATAGAGGCGCTATGTAGAGCATGAAAAGAATGCTAGATACTGGGGATCCTTGTGGAAGACCGCAGGTAATGTCTATTGAGGGGCCGATCTCTCCATCGAGTCGGATCTGAACTGATCTTCCAGTAGCGAAGGAGGCAATCCAGAGAACGAGATTGGTAGGCCAGCCCTGCTCGCGTAGTCTGCGGATCAGTCTGCCAGGAAGTACGGAATCAAAGGCGCCTTTGACATCTAGGGTAAGGAGTGAGGTAGTCATGCCTTGATTTAGTGCTTGTTTAACATCATGTGTTAGGCATGTGGTCAGGTCAGTTGCAGATCTTAGTGGGAGAGCCCCAAATTATTGCCTTGCTAATACTTTATAATGTATAGAGATCCATGCTATATTCCGTGCCATCAAGCGCTCCAGTCCTTTGCCAAGTACTGATAGGAGAGCAATTGGTCTGTATAATCTAGGTGAAGACTAATCAGTCTTTTTTAGTTTCTGGATGATTGCTAAGATTGCATATTAAAAGCATTTAGAATGATGACCAATCTTTAGGCACCCTTGATATAGCATTAGTACCTTATCTTTGATCAGAGGCCAGGCTACTTTGAGTATGCAGGTTGGGATTTCATCTGCGCCAGGGGCTGTGTTTCCTGCCTGAAGTACTGACTCCTCCACTTGTAGCATCGATATATCTGGGAAGTAGAGACTAGTGGAAGGCACTGTTGGGGAGTCCAGAGGTATGTCTTCTGCCTCTGCCGAGTTCTGGAGAAGATTGCGGACTAGTATGTCTTGTTTCTCGTGTACAGTAACTACTGGGAGGCTGTTAGGCCTTAGCAGATCTTTTAGTGGAGGGCTTTAGAAGATGCCTGTAGACTTATGCTATTTGCTCATGTCAAAAACATCCTTCATTTGTGTTACCATAGAGAGCTTCTCTCGCCAAAATTGTTGTTGAGACCATCTAGTTATCCTGCGGAAGTCTGTCTTTGAGCAGAGGCCTAAGCAGTAATTGTGTAAAGCTTTCTTACAGTCTTCGTTCCACCATAGTTATCCTATGCCTTGTGTCATGGTCCTCTTAGCAGAGCCTCTATATGCTCTTTGAATTGCAGATGTTAGTTTTTCAGCAAAAGCATTAAGATCTTCTTCTGTCGCGGCTGAGCTCTCGGTGCCAGCAAGATTAGAGGCGAGGAGCGAAAGGAAGGAAGTGTGATCTAGTGTGTCAAATCTCAGTTTCTGAGCTGTTTCCTTGTATCTCTGATCCCATGGAACAGTGGTAATTAGTGGTTGATGATCTGAGATTGCATCTAAGTGGCTCGCTATGCTAGCTTTGGCTCCTGCGAGTGCTAGAGGGCTTGAGGCAAAACTGAGGTCTAACACGTTACCCCTTTCATGTGTGGGACAGTCTATGTCGGAAATGAGTACTAGACCCTGGAGATCCAGCCAGTTAATAAATGGCTCTGCGAAAGGTGTGGGGCTGTGATGTAGCGAGGGCTACCATCTATTGTGTAGTAGGTTGAGATTGCCTGCAAGTATTGTTGCTTGAGGGAGATACGCCTCTGGCAGGGTTGTGAGAGCTTTTGCGGCTTCACCTGCTCTGATGGAGCCTGCTAGGGTGTTATAGATGTTGACTATCAGAGCAGACTTTCCTGTGGGTGAGAAAATCTGAAGGAACAGGAGATCCGAGGCCTCTTTAGTGTCAGTTGTGAAGGGGCGGAGCTGGGAGGTCCGAATACCTTTCTTCTTTTAAATATAGGTGAGGACTCGTGGTTGGCCACTTATCGCCCAACTGTCAGTTGGAGAGAAGCATTCATATGATGGGTGTTTTTTAGTGATCTGTCGACTAAGATCTTTGAAAGTATATAGTTCTTGGATTAGGATAATATTAATATCACTTGTGTATGCCAATGTGAGAGCTATTTCATGTGCATCTAGCGCGTGCCCTACATTTAGCTGTAGGATTTTGAGAGGCGCCTTCTAAGTTGGATAGTGATAGATTATAGTTCCTGTTCAAGAAGAGAGGCGAACCAGTTTTGTAATTGAGGTGTTATAAAGTGGACTGCGCGAGCTGTAATTGGAGGATCTTTAGTTGGGGCGCGAGGTGGGGGGGTTACTGAACGGAAAGGAGAGATAATCTTGTGGGTTGGAGGCTAAGTTAGCATCTTATCTAATGCCATAGATGTTTCTTGTGTGCTAATGGAAAGCTGAGAGCTACATCCTCCTTCAGTTCGAGCTTTTGCGAGGTTTATAGCGCAGGATTTGCGGATCTCTACTTATTGAGCTTTAGTATGTTTAGTGTTGCCTTTAGGGTGCAGGAGGCATTCTGGGAAATTAGCTGGATGTGATCTATGGTAGTGTATGCATCTGGGAGGGCACTGATGAGGCTCTAGGGCTGTGCAGCGGTTGACATGGCCCTCTTCAGTATGCTCTAAGGAGCCGCAGAGCCGGCATTGAGAGGGGCGGGCACAGGATCGTGTGTTATGCTATTTCCAGCATTGTGTGCATTGGATAACTGTTGTTCTCTTAGAGAGATGATAGGCATTGGTGATAGTGCCAAAAAGACGTAGTTGGATAGGCAGTGATGATTTCGTGCCTTCTGGGAAGTTGACAAACCAGCTTGAGGAAAGAGTATTAGGGTTGGCGGCACTTATAGTGGTCTCGCTAATAGATATAGGCTTGAGCCCAGTAGTTTCGCTAATTTCTAAGGATAGTAGTGTAGGATTGATAGGGATTAGAGAGTATCGGCCATCCAAGATTTGGCCAATTTTCCTTGGCACATTGGTGACTCGGTATGAGACCCATTGGGAGCTGCGTTCTATCTGGCAGTTAACAAAGAATGCAGAGATAGTCTCTTTTTAGGCCTCAAGAGCTAGGAGGGCTTCTGGAGATGAGGGGCATAGTGTGAAGCCAGTCTTTGTGGCTTGAACTTCTTTTAGCACTGCACTGTTTGAGTTTAGTTGAGACCGTAGGCTAGAGTAGATGGCGTAGGCTTCTATTTTTCTAGCTGCATGGTCAGCTGGGAGGCGTACGAAGAGCCGGTTGTCAGGAAGGGGTTGTTTCACCAGAGGCATAGGCTTTTTAACTAGGGATTTAGAGTGAGTAGTGGGGGTTGATTTGACCGGGGCATATTGGGTAATAGTTGCATAAGTTGACTGGTTAAGACCTGAGGGGGGACGTGAGGGAGGGGATGAAGGGGGTAAGGGATTTAGGATGGGGGAAGAGGAAGGGGAAGGAGACAGGGCAGGTAGAATAGAGATCATTGAGATACTGCTAATATAGGCGTTGAAATGTTGTTGAGCTACCGAGGCGAGGTCATCACTTAGGGCGGTGAGGGCTCTTAGTAGGTGAGGAGCAAGGCTGGTGGTTTGGCTGTGGTGTTTATCAAGGAATGCAGCTATGGGGCTGAAGATCTTCTGTCCTTCAGAAGCTCTTGTTATGGCTGCAGACATGGATTCTAGAAGGGCTGTCTGTAGAGGGCCGTCTGTACCAGGGCCTTTACGCGCCATGGTGTTGCCGGGCGCGTTGAGACGCGTCAAAGGCTGCACTCCTGGGAGCTAGGTGGTAGAGAGGGTTGAGGATTTTGAGCCTCCGACTGTTTGATATGAATAATTATAAGGAAGTCGCCTATCAACTCGAAAATCTTGAATGTGGCATAATGTTGGATGCGAGGATGCAGTCGAGATCTGGATAACTGACATCACGTGATTGAAATCACGTGATGAAGGCTACATATTGGAATCTTTGGGTACTAGTCCGAACGGGGTTAGGCTCTGATATGAGTTGTACAATTTGGGTGAGGAATAATTGACTCTGATTTGCACGTCTTCTAAAACATAGCTAACTACACATCTTGATCCTCTTTATATACACATCATAGTGGCAAAGTATCACGGATTTACGGGATAAATGACAATCCTGACTCCAAAATGTAGGCTTGAGTTTGGCTCTCATGTTCTCACGGATATGTCGTTATTCCGAGGAATCATGATTAGTAATGACATCCTGATTGGGATTAGCGTATCAAATATCCAACACTACACCAGGAATCCCTTACGCGTCGGGGTCAAAGATAGGAAAGACAGACAACTTAAGACTACCCAATTGAACCCATATTCCAAGTTAGGAAGCCTATCGTACTAGTACTAGTGCAGATGCACCCACACATAAAGAAATTAGATGAAAGTGCAAAAGACGAGACATTCATAGTTATAGATGTTTTTATTGCAGTGTCTTTATCATTTTTAGTCTCTTATTATTTTAGTGCCGCTCTATCTTTGTAACACTATAAATCTAATTTTAGATACTAATTTGGTGGAGGTGAATCTGCAAGATAAGAGTACTTTGAGCAACCATGGCCCTTTATACTATAGTATCCGCAGTTGTCGTCTCTATTTCTCCATTTGCATAGCTTCTTAAGCTACTCCTTCACTAACACTCCTAGCTTTAGGGCATTCCACTTTTTCTTATTGGGGGTATCTGGGTCTCACTCCTTCCTCTTCTTATCCTCTCTCCCATCAGTTGACTTTGGAGTTGCTGGTGTGAGAGGATTGAAGTTATTTGTAGCGTTATCTATACTGAATTTGAGACCTTGGCATTTTTCTAATACCTTAGAATATAACTGATAAAAATCATCCATATTTTTGCTCTTCACGTCCTTGTATTACTCTATCTTGAGTGTGACCCATGTAGGGAGATCCATCTCAATGGAATGAAGGAGAGTAATAATGAGTTGACATGGCTAAATATCAAAACTGTCGCATTCAGTATTGCTATGCTTTGCATGGAGGGCATGGATATATATCTCACAAGTTGCATATTAATGTCTGTTGCATTTTCTGAAGTCTGTCCAAGCTCGCCAACTGGCTTGTGAATCAGCTTCTCCCTTACAAATAGTTCGAATTGCTGCCAATAGATCATCTGCATAATCAACATTGACAGTTATGGTTTGGACTTTTGTGCCAACATCTCGACTAAGCATTGCAGAAAGCCAACCTGCCACTTTAAGTGATAGCTTCTTCTAGATTTTGTAGTAAGCTGACCCAACATGAGGTCGTGGGATGCTCTTATCGATAAGGTCAAGTAGATTGTTTCCTAAGAGCTCGCGTCGTACGGCTTGATACCATCGATTGTAATCATCTGCTCCTTGTAGGACTTGGATTGGCGTCAAAGTGATGCTTTGGCCGTCCTTTAGGATCTCTGTGGCTTGATCTATTACTGTAGGATGATTCACCACTCCTGTATTTATGACATTACCTTGTTGACCTGTTTGGCCGTTTCAGTCTGTCTGTCGAGATGAGCCTTGTTGGCCATTGTTCTGGTCACCTTCTCCCACAGTCATGCTGATAGGGACTTGGTTGTTTGAAAAGGGTGTTGATCCGTGATCAGAGGTTGAGGAATCGTATTGAAACGACCTGTTCAAAAGAAATCCAGGCGCATAACCTGATGATGGGCTAGAGAGAGTGATATTGAGAAGTCTAACTAACTATCTGAGATCCGTGGCGTGCAAGGTGTCGGATTGGTGGGTTTATTCCAGGCCAATCCTACAAAGTGTTTTACTAGGATCAAAGAAAAGAAGTGACTAGCAAGATTGTATGTGTTAAGTTCTGTATCTCTCTCCATCAGGTTTCAAAGCCGGGTCCTTTATAGACACCTTTGGCGGGGTGATTTGTGAGCTATCAGGAGGGGTAAATATTGGGCTGAAATCTAGGTGCCCAGATATATGCCTAAAGGTGCCTTTTAGACCTGTAAGATTGAACAGTCGATCTTTCTGCCTCGTTTGAAAGCCGGATTATCTGACACGAGGTTGATGTCCTTGCTACGATCACGCTAGGCCCAATGCGGTACCGACGTCTACCTGTATGGCGGTGGTCCCGTGATAATTCCCTAACTGTTGGTTTTACTACGGTCCTTATCATGAAGCATAGACGGTAGTAAGGCGCGAACGCGAAGCGGCCTAATGAGCCTGACAATATGAAGCTATCTTGATTCCTAATATTGTGACTAGTCCCCAAAAGCGTGTGTGTGTCATTGTTTAACGGCCGTAGGTCGTGATGAATCACTGCCTACCCATTCCCTAGTGGGACAAAGGCCGCCAGGGGGTAAGCCCTGGGTGTCAAGATTTATATACAAGATGTGACTCTTTGGCGCACTTACATGGCTGCCGTGGTCAGATAGTTAACCTCTACATGTAGAGGCTGGGTGCTGCTGCCAGCTGCAGTGGTCCACCTACTTCCCATGACCGAATCTATCCTGTTCAACACAAATTCAACTTGAAAGAGAGAGAAAAAGGAGACAAAGGAAAACAAAGGAAAAATAGGTAACTATATGTCTCTTAGCCTATGTGCTAAGGGGGGAGCGTTGAGGGCAGATATCCTTAAAGAATTGGGTCTCTGTTAGCCATTTGGCTAGTCTGATGGCTCCCTTTAGAGTGCCTAGGAGGAATAGGATGACTTCCAAAGGATGTCTAGGGAATCTAGGAGCTTTTCTTTTTGCAATCAGGTAGAAAATGAAGTGGATTAGGGACTTTCTTACACCATATTGGCACAAGAGGTAGACATCCATGTGGTTAAACTATTTGTGATAGTCTGTGAAGTCTCTATACTTTATGTGTGCTGCGAGGATTCATCCTAAGATATAGTGAGGAAGCTGGAGCTCTACTGGATGTCTTGAGAAGTTAGTAATTTTAAGGTCTTGATAGACCTGCAGAGCAGCTGACTGCCAATATGCCTGTGCTCTTGATGTGGTTTATAATCTAGTATGTTGCTTAAGTACTGTATATGACTATAGTTAAGAGATGGGGACAGTTCTCTCCACGCCCTCTTTAGTGGTGAGGTCTACTACTTCATTTCTAGGGATATCTGCATGTCCAGGAACCCAGTAGATTCAGACAATCTCACTCTTAATTTGGGGAAGTCTCCTCCTTGATGGCCGGATGGTGGCAAGTATATTGAATGACTTGAAGACAGCTTGGGAGGAGCTAATGGATAAGAAGAGGAGTTAAATAGCGACCTCAAGATTATCAAGGCATATCTATAGATTTGGTGCGTGTTGGGCTCTTGAGTTTGCCATTATGGCTTTCAATCTAGCAAGAGCAGCTTCTGCTTCTATGTTAAAGACTTCTTTGTTGGACCTGAGAGGTATTGAGTCTCATAAGAATTGGGAGCCAGCTTAGAAACTAACAAAGCTGCTGCCTATTTCCCTGTTTTCTAATTTAGTTCTATCTAAGTAAATTATAATATTATTATCTAGGATAGATTGCAGGAATATTTAGAAGTTATCTGCCGCTTCTTCTCTTGTGAGGCTGGATGGAGCACCCACCTATATTAAGACTGTTTCTCTAGGTTCTTTTGTACTCCAGGGTGGGTGAAGCAGTGGGTTGATCTTTTCTATACTAGGGAGTGCGTGTGAAAGGGTCAATCTTACTGTATTGCTGAGCTGAGCTACATACAATGAGGTACACGTACACGAGAATATTTGACATGGAGAGAAAAAGAAAGGAAGGAAACAAGCTCTCGATCCAGCCACAGAGATCTATATAATCTCTGTGCGTGGCACCTTGCTAAATACAGTACCGCTCTGGCGGTTCCCTATCTGGCAACCCGTAGGGCTGCAGCCCTACGACGGGAATGGCTTCACCTTTGACCTGGTACGGAGCCGGGACGGAGGTGGCTCTGTCACATGCGAGCACTCAGCGAGCGAAGCGGCTAGTTAGGTGGCCTATTTGGGTTATAGCTCTGGCTCATCTTTGAAGAGGGTGATATAGGTCTAGGTGGCTTAGGTGTGTAGATGCAGTGAGGGCAATTTAATCTAGCTTAATCTTAGGAGAGTAAAACCCTAACTCTTAGTGTAGGATAAGTAACTGGGTAGTGCGGAAAATAGATAGAACCGCCCTTGCTTCCATTAGAATAACAGTAGATAGGTCTATTAGATGTTTGTTTACTAGGTTTAAGATTGGGGGAGTGTCTGCCTGAGGGCGGGAATGAGGATGGGTGCAGCCTGGCTATCACATCTCTACACTGAAGTAGGCTTTGTGGAGGACACAGGCTGATATGGCCTATTGGAGGAGATGTGGCCTTATTCTATGGACCATGTTTCCAAGCGAGTGGAGGATACTAGCTATAGTGAGCGCTTTAGATATTATTTCTTAAACATACTAGTTGTGGGTGCATAAAGCACGTGTACACGTTAATGTACGTACGTGCATGAATGGTTAGCAGGTACTGCAATTCTGTATGGGTTCAAAATGTGTGTGATTGTTGCTATCTAACTCACGCCCCGACGCGGTCTTACATCCCTCTATCCTAGACGAGGTCACGTGACGCCCTGCGGCTGTTGGAACTCAGAATGAACTAAACCAATTTGGGAATAGGACAAGATTTGCGTATCAAGAAATTTCGAGAATTGGCATCACATTCCGACGCGATATTGAACATTACAAATCAACTTTACAGCCTATCTCTAGAAAGTTCGATTTGCACAAGTGTCGACTTTTGGTGATATCACTTCTATGGAATCTTGTATATAAAAACAGGTTCAATACTCCTAGATAGGGGTTTTAGAGGAGTGCCGGAAAATAGACCTAGTTCCTTATACGTATTGTTTAGTGCTCGCCTTCGCTTAGTCATCGCTCTAGTAAACCAACGTTCCGACAGCGGCTCAGTGCGTCGGAGTGAGGCATCTCGATTGCTCCTACCTGGCCCTCCCAAACTCTGAACAGATAAACCCTCTCCAATACGCTCCCTGGCACCCTCGCGAGCCTCGTGGGAATGCTCAAGCTCGAATAGGAGCTCCCATGGGACGCACTAAGGAACAGGCAGCGGCTAATTTCATGGCTTTTCAACATACCATCCCTAGCTCAGATATTGTAATCTTTTCAGATAGATCTAGGCTAGCAGACGGACGTGCAGGGGGTGGCTATATTAGACTCCAAGCACACTATCAGTTCCTCCGCTCTTCACTCTTATATGGACACAGGAAAGAGGTCTTCGACGCAGAAGCAGAAGCAGCTCTAGCTGGCACTCAAGCAGCAATAGTGTACCCAACAGCTCAATTTGCTACCAACCTATGGATCTGCCTTGATAACCTGGAAGTTACTATACGTCTTCTATCTCCCTCTACAGGATCTTCCCAAGAAATCTTTGAATCCTTCCGCACCCTTGTAGCCGCATGGCCACTTCGCAAAAGGCTTCCTCACACTAAAAGTGGATCTATCTAAATCCGATGGGTCCCTAGACACGCTAAAATCCCTGAGAACAAAGCGGCTGATCTCGCTACTAAAGAGGGAGCTGCCTCAATCCCTCCTGCTCCTCACAAATCCTCATACACCTCGCTAAAGAGATACGCCAAGACTTAATCCCTATCCGCTGCTCAGTCACAATGGGAGAAGATGGCACCACAGAGCTATCAAGATCTAGAAATAACCACTTCCCCTAAGCGCCCTAGGGAGCTTTAACTCAACTGACTTGACCTTGGCCATATTATTGTGGCCCGTACTGGTCATGGAGACTTTACAGACTACCATGAATGCTTCAACCATAATAACACTTATCTTCTCTGCCGATGCGGAGCACAAAAAGCACCTCTGTACTTCTTCTTCTGTCATATAGCTAAGAGACGAGCCCCTCGGCCTCCTGGGCCCCCTTCTAAGGTCATCTCTTTTCTCTTAGGCACTGCTAAAGGAGCACAAAAGCTAGCCACATGGCTAGCAGAGACCCACTTCTTTGAGGATATCTGCCCTCGCCAACCTCTCCTTAGCACCTAGCTAAGACAGCCCTACTCTTCCTTTATATTTCTCTTCTCCTTCTTTCTTTCTCTTCTCCTTCTTTCTTTCTCTTCTCCTTCTTTCTTTCTCTCCTCCTTCTTTCTTTCTCTTCTCTTCTTTCTTTCCCTCTCTGCAAAACTTACTGTTCAGTTATAATAGTGGTGGAGTAATAGGTCATGGAGTGTAGACGGACCATTGCAGCTGGCAAATACCTAAAACCCACTCAAAGTGGACCTCCCTGTAAGACCACGGCAGCTATGGAAATGCGCCAAAAAGTCTCTTATTTGTACATAAATCTGATAGGACCCGAAACCCGAGGCTTACCCCTCGGCGGCCTATGTCCCAGTAGGGATCGGTGGGAAGCGTGCGAGTCACGAACCACGGCCGTTAAATATATACACACACACACACACTCGATTGCTCCCACAAACCAACACTAGTAGAAGGAGAGCTTTTTATTGAAGAGGATCCCTAGCTAGCATAGATATAAACAGTTGGTTGCTTTAGTGACTGTGACTGAGCCTATTGAGACTAGGGGGGTTATTGTAGGGTCTTGGTCTGCTTAATATTAGAAGAAATGCATGAGTTCATATTTATTTAGTGTGAAAGTAATTTCTTTATCAGTGCTCTATTTAATTGCCTCCTATAGAGATTTGCTCAGTATCTAGTAGTTAGTTATAAGGGATAGGGAGATTGCTAGGGTCGCTCCATCATCTGCATATCCAAATCTAGTTCTAGGGTTATCTATATGAAAGAGTAGTGCAATGTAGAGCATAAAGAGAATAGGGAAGATAGAGGAGCCTTAGAGAAGGCCACATAATATATCTATATAAGGGTTAAGTTCATTATTAAATTAGATCTGTATGGTTCTTTCTGTGATGAAAGAGACAATCTAGAGTATTAGATTATTTAGCCATCCTTGTGTCCGAAGCCAGTAGATGAGTCTCCCTAGAAGGATATTATTAAATATATCTTCTATATTAAAGGTTAGTAGATTTTCAATTTGTACCGGCGCGTCCAAAATCGGCTAGTTCTTCGGGATCGCCACCTTGGGACTAGTGCGCTTCAATTTCGGGTTTAGCGGATCCAATTTGGGTTTAGACTCATTGTGCCCGTCCTAATGGAGGATAGCGCGTGTGACGCTCGTCTCGACGACTATATAAACCTCGAGTGCGTCGCTCAACGACCGCCGCTCGTGTGCATCCCTATTTTTCTCTACCTCAATAATTTGCGCAGCCTTGGGCCTCACTAGCGGCCCGTGAGCCGTCTCACAGCTGAAAAATTAGTCCTTGGCTGCGCTGGTGGATCGTGCCACTGTTACATTTCATGATTCTTTTCTCTCCATTCCCTCTTGATTGACGCTTCAGAGAGTACACCCACAAGATAGAGAGTCTCAAAATTTGAGTGAGCTTATCCTACATTACAATTTCTATCTGAGGTAGTGGTTGGAGGATGTGTTTCTTCTTGTGTTGAGCTTCGCATCCATTTCACCGCATCCTGAGTGTCTGCCTTTCAGCTAAACACTGGGTCCTGGGTAGTCCCTATGGACTTGCGCGTATTGCAGTGGGGAAAGACGCCATTACAGATCGCGTATCTTCTCCTCATCGGGCATAATATAGGATACGATGAGCCACAACGTCCAGCAGGCCACGGCGCAGATGGAATTCTGAATTCTCTCGAGTGCATTCCACTTTCCCAGCAGTGCGAGTTTCCAGCTGATTGGATGGAAGCGTCATCCTATTCCAGTGTATGCACCAGGCTTCGTCATATGTGGCTCAATGAGGATTGAACTGGTTACATGACGATTTTAGCGGTGCAAGGATCATATGAGTTAGATTGAGTATTGCCTCTTTCTGTCCATCCAAAGCCATTCCGAGGGGCTCAGACCGGCTGTATTACCAACCATAATTCAAGGAAGGTCGATTTGAAGCCCCACCCAAACTGGTATTCCACGACTAACTAATATTAGGCATCCAATTGATCAATATTCAGGCGGATAGAGCGCATGAATTGATTTCTGACGGTGATGTCCGAATGCAAGTATGAAACTATGCATGATGGTGGCTCCTTACATCCACTGAGCTGAAAAGCTGGCTTTGAAGAGCCTGTGGCATTCCGCCAGTGTTGCATCTAGGACATTTCTATCTGTATGTCGTCATCAACGGGGCAATTCTGTCCATGAGACTGCGCTAAACGATAGTGTCCTACTCGTTTGCTTTATCTGAGCATCCTGGTTTAATTAGCATGGACGTGATTAACATATGAGATGGGTATCTTTACAAGGGTGGAGGAACACGCCAGTCACCTTGCTGGCGCTCTGCCTCGTCATTTTGGCGGAAAATTACGAAGTGGAAGACGAGCTTGTTGGGTCAAGGGCCTTCTACACTGCGCCACGGTTGCATTCAGTATGCTCATAGATCCACTGATTCAAGATCCATCACCATCCCCTTCAGCTACAATGTGAAGGTTCAGTGTTTGGGGCTATGCTAGGACTATGGAACCTCATTCTCGATCTTTGCGCAGTCCCAGTTGGATCTCTCTACCAATAAGAAAAATCCCGCAATCAGAACTACATCGCTGATGACTGCTGGCCGAAATGACTTCCACCACCGCTGCTGGGGCACAACAGGGTGGTCAACAGAACATCCGGATTGGGCTGAACTGCGCGATATATTTATATGGAATAATCCAAATCGGTCTCCTTCCTATTCAAGGAATTACCCAGCCTGTCTGTGCAGATTTGATGACAGACCCTAGGGAAGCTAGTCTTACAAGTTGGATTTGTTTCTTCCCTCTCTTTCCTATTATGGCATTACCGAAATTGGCATATATTGGCGTTCATAATATCAGGCTTTTCCCAGATCGCCTATATAAATCTCAGTGAGGCCACCAGAGAACGCGACAAACCCTTATTATTATAAGTAACCGGTCTCTTCTCTTCCGTTATTCACTATCTTTGCAGCTCCAGCTATGGCAGGCATCTCACTTGACAATATGGTCATGTACCAGCATCGTGAGCCTAAAAAGCTGCCCAAGTCACCAGCCATTCCTCATGGAATATCTTCATTTCAATCGCACATGATTTCTTCTATGTCTCACCCTCTCACTATTTGCCCCCACACATCGACTGTGCAGGCTGCGTCCCCAAGCCTTCTTATTAAAGAGAACCATTCTTCTATTCCTCATATCTACCTTAACACGGCGCACACTCAGACTCAATCCGATGACTTTCATCAGCCGGCAGTAGCCGTACCTATCGATTCTGATGAAACCTACAAGGAACATGGCGTCTGTGACACCATGATTTGTCAGAATGGATCTCGGAATGAATCCCAGAATAGTAAGCGTGGCCTCCTTGAATGCTAGTGTACTGAAACTGACATGTCGCTCTAGAAGATGAGGGATCTTGCAACAACTACTATGTCGATGGAGAGCAGGGCATAGCCGGACTTACAAATGGCACGGAAATGCCGACAGCTGAAGATTTAGCGGCAGTATGGTCTCCAGAATTGGATGCTCCATATCATCATTCACACAGCGAGCAACCTGGTAGCACCATCCCAGAGAGTCCAGTACAGGAAATGCCACCTGATGTTGCAAATAAATCCACTTTCCCGGCCCAATGGTCTGATGCGGACTCCTTTGATCAAGTGTCAATCAGTCCCATCCACACTATTCCAGTTCTTGACCCAATGTGCCCTACTTATCCGACTATCACTATTTTGGAGGACAAGGATTATCAGCCAACTGTACACCAAATCTCTCCAGCCCATGGAAATAGGGCGATAGCCTTTCCACCGACCCAATTCCAGCAGACTGATAGTCGAACATCAGCATTAAGAAAAAAGCGTCAGCTAAATAACTCACAACCGACGCAGTCCACTTTAGTAAGGGCAACATCTGAACGTCTATCAGTTACAGTCCCTGGTCGAAATTCCCGATCCAGCAACACATCTCGTGCTCGTCGGCACTCGCGTGGTTCGCCCTCAGCCCAGAGTACAGAAAGCGATGATTCAGAGGATAGTGACTACCATGAGCACAGTCATGCAGGAGACCAGATAACAAACCTCGAGTCGGAACCTCGTCCAGCAAAAAGACAGAGGCGGGCTGACGCTGGCACACATCCTTGTCGCCAGCGTCGAGGAAGACTGCAGGAACGAGATCATTCAACAGCATCGTTACAGAGTCGGCCAAGTCTTGAATCCATGGTGCAGAATTCGACCAGTTCAGAGACAATCCGTATTGATGGTCGTCTTCTCCGTAAAGTGTCCTTGGGCCGAGCTGAGTATTGCTGCTGGTTCACAGAGGCTCAAGGCTCGACCGCCCTTAGCCCTGCCTGGTCTGATTGTTTGGCCGCATTTCAGAAGCAGGCTAACGAGCGGGATCAGTGGACCAGCATGTCTGACCTTCAAGTTATTAACATTGAAGGCATATTCACTCGGGAACTCAACCCTTGTGGGTATACATGGAGCTGTTCATTTAAAGAGAGATATACACCACCACAAACTGACAAATCATCTCACGAAGAGCGCTTAACCCCAGATGAAGACGGCTTTATGGAAGACAACGAAGTCTCCCAGCTTGTGGAAATGCCCGTATCGTCGAAGGGCAACGAGTACACTCCCGAAGAAGACAAACTGATAATACAACTCAAAGAGGTCGAAAAGCTTCCATGGTCACGTATTGCGGCGCATTTTCGTGGAAGAACGAAAAGCGCTCTTCAAGTACGATACTGTACGGCTTTAAAGGATAAGCGGCATAAGAGTCAAACGAAAGGTCGCAGGAAGCCGAGAACTAGCCAACCAAGGGTTGCTGCAGAGAAATCTCGACAAGATATTGAGAATTCAACTCCCAGTCGCCAATATAGCCTACGGCAGTCACGACAAATTCCAGATCGTTATGTTCCCGAGTAAAATTTTTAGATAGATATATGTATATAAAGATCTCTACCAGTCTTGAGTGTGAGCATTTGTTTATTTTTCTAGTAGTGATAATTGCAAAACATCATGATGCAGCAGCGTGGAGAGCATTACCACGTCTTCCTTGTACAATTTATGACATCCTCCTTAGGAAACAGCCTGGATAGCATTACCACAGAACCCACCTAGAGTATTGACATCCGCTCCCTTTTCCAGTAATAGCTGAATAACTTCAAGATGTCCTCCTTCAGCAGATGCCTGGAGAGCATTGCCATAGTTTCCACCCTGAGCATTGATATTGGCTCCATTTTTGAGGAGTTGTTGGACGATCTTAGGATATCCAGCAGCAGCGGCAGCCTAGAGAGCATTGCCATAGAATCCACCCTGAGCATTGATATTCGCTCCCTTTTCAAGTAGTTACAATCCCGAATGCAGTGCCAGGCAATAATTACACTTCCGGGCTATTCCATTCCATCTACGCCAAGAAAGGTGTTATTGATATGAAGTCGATTTTAGTTACCTGTTGGATGGGTTGAGGGTTTACCCTGTAACCGACGTCTTTTTGGTGCAGTGGTTAATTCAACATTACCCACTGGGTCTGGTGGAGACTAAGCGGCTGGAAGGTTTCTCGCAAATCCACATTCATGATGTGGGCTTCGTAAGGATAGATCGATTATAGAATCAATGATTGTCTCCCATCCGTTAATATTGTTAGATTGGATGGAGGCTACACGATATATATTGTGAAAATTTCTAACTGATTGACCATGAAACATGAACTCTTCTTTCGGGCTAAACAGGACATGCTCTCGGCCCCTATCCTCGCGCGACACTTGGCCCATTCGGCCTTGGAGAATCCTCCTCGAGTATTAGCAAGGACAATCTGTAGGATCGGATATCATGCTTGGAACTGGAAGTGGTAATCGGAGACACAAAGGGAGGAAATGTACTGGCTAGCCAAGAGAAATTGAATTGGTTATATGATATTGTGACTCAACCCTACCTGTTTTTCTATTTAATAAGCACTGTAACAAACTAATTCATTGCAATAATGTCAAGGGCGGCTGTGGTAAACTTCGGCAATGGTGTCGACTTGTTCATAAAGCCCACCTGGCTATGTTCGTAGTCAAGAATCAGCACACCTAGTTGGGCCCACCAGGAACCGAAGGTGTACTCATGACTCGAGTCTGTAGAGTTGTCCCCTGTGATGATAGAGATGCAAGTAGTGCTGGTTGGATCACGCTGGTACGGCATATAAGTACCAGGAATGGTGAATGTCCCATTTCCAATGCTAAATATGAAATCAGGTAGGCTCGCGTTGCACGGATAGCGATACGTGTTATCAAAAGCAGACCATGTAGAATCAATGCCTGAGAAGTACCAGTCTAGGAGCTTTTGCGGCCAAACAAGGGACTGCTCTGCCGTTGAGACTGTGGCGGACCAGGTGCTGATTGGAGGATTCTTTCGACTGCCAGCGGATACTGCTGAAACATTAACACTCCAGGTAGGCTGATCAATATTCCGATCCGCCCATGCGATAGCAGCACGGTCATCCAGACTTTCCAGACTTCCAAGGATCCAAGTACCGTTTTGCCATTCACGGGATGAGTTAAGGGAGCATTTCCATTCTAGGCGTAACGTCAATGAATGCTCACGAAAGCCTTAATTTGAGACGTACCCATTAGCTGATCTTGAATGGCATACATGAAACTTGGAAACAATGGCTGCTGCATCGAGTTGTAGTTGAGGCCAATGATCCCACTAGTTCCGCCAAAGGGAATAGCCTGTCCACTCGTATTCGGATAATATTGTTCAAGTTGGCCAAATGCGATATCCGAATAGAGTTTGCCGCCAATATTGAATGTTTCCGTGCCAGCGAACGCTATAGCATAGGCATCATCCTCAAATGTCTGCGTGTATGTATTCTCAGGGATAGAATTGTAAATATAACCCCATGACCTGGAGCCGCTGCTGTTATATACAAGGATGCCATCTATGTCAGTGGGATTCTCACGGGTAGACCGAACGAGCACTCCATTGAAGGTGGTATCAAACTGGACGTCAATTGTTTGCGCGGGCGAGCCTATCTCAATGATGCCCATCGGGCTGCCTAATTCAATATCATGCTCAAACAAAGTTGTGGAGTAGCATACCCGTCGATCCCGATATCAAAGGGAACACTGGAACCGGGGTTCGTGGGAATGGCAACCGCGACTCCACGGGTTACAGTTGAAGTTACAGTTGACGGTTGTGCAAGCGCTCTATGGCGGTGCTTGTGGTGAGTAGCACATGCTAGTGAAATATGCAAAATGCTGGTTATGACCCACAAGAAAAACATTGTGTATTGTCTTTGAAGATCGCAGCCACCATTTGCGACTTCATAGATCAGGTTAGAGGGTATTGATCCTTTTATATGTCATTACGAAATGGTTTGCCGGCACACAGCACTAGGAGAAACACGACCAATCTGCCTGGTAGAAGACGGATGATTGGGAAGGAGACTAATTCGTTTACAAACGGATCCAGTCCGAACTGTTTCGATCCTGACAGATCCGGATCGGTGCCAAGATAGCGCTCACAGTGTTAATAGCACCTATTGCATGCATTGCTTCTCAATCTAGCCTCGACTAACCTATGATTGCACAGCCATCGCTCCCTATTTCTACTAGCCGCTGCATGATGCCAAGATTTGAACTGGTTGGGAGTGAAAAGTGGGGCTAGACTGCCAGCTTACAACAAAGAAATCGGAGCAAAAAGAGTACATTGTACGGAGGTGGGCACCAAAAGTGACGGGAATACGCTAAGCGCGCTAAAAGGCACTAGAAATGTGTATCATATTTTATTCCAACTTATTACAGACAAAATCTCTCCTATTTGTCCATTTATCTTGTTCTAAACCTCCTATAGCTTAGCTCTGTAAAAGAAAACATCAAATTACTACAAAAAAGGCTAGTTTATACGCTAGAATTTAGCGTATTCCCATCCCTTTTGGTGCCCACCTCCGTACATGATTGATAAATAATGACTGATGGACCCAGATTCAAATTTGGTTCTTTGTTTCTAGATCCCTGAAGGTCACCCTGGTAGCCATGCTTGATGCATCTGGAAACCCACCCGATTGGTCGGCGATGTCATATACCATCTTTTTCAATCAACCTTAGTCGATCGTCCACGGGCTAGAACTTGAAATAACCAATCAACATTTCTTCGCCGAATCGGTCCCATCATACTAGTAGTTATAGTTTAAGGACCTGCTGACCAATGGATGATAATCTCCGGTAACTAAACCAACGAAATGCCGATACTTCCCACGGTCTATTATTTTCACGTGGTTACATGCAAGGTCAAGGTAGCTCGCACTCTGTTATGCGCCATACGTATAATAAGCCTGCTGTTTCATTGGTCTTATTTCGGATAAATCATCCTAGACGATCTTGAACATCACTTTTTCTCGCCTTGTTGTGCATGAATTTCTCCACAGGAAGTTCGTCTGTAATGGAGGATAAAATATCGGGTCGCTCTTGCAACCATATGTACATAACCCCGCTATCGAAATTGTTACTTAGAGTTTTTTGCCGATTGCTAACATGACACGAGAAAAGTCTTCCTGAACAACACCCGCCACATACAGAGAATGGACGCACATACCACGGATATCGCAGAGGAATCTATATGTGGCCGTGCGACGAGCAAGAACAGGATCGCCTTGATTTGCTACACAAAGTCATCACTGAAGCCAGGATAGGCGATGGGTTGCTATATGCTCCTCACCCTTCCAATGCACGAGTGCTCGATCTTGGCTGCGGCACTGGAATATGGGCTATCGATGTCGCTAACAAATATCCAGAGGCTTTCGTGGTCGGAGTGGATCTTACAAAGATTCAACCATTTAATCGCCCCCGAAATTGTGACTTCTATGCGCCCCGTGACTTTGAGGATCAATGGGCTCTAGGTGAAGATCATTGGGATGTGATCCATATGCAAATGGGTTGTGGCAGTGTCAGCAGTTGGTCCTCGTTATATCGCAGAGTATTCATGCATCTACGACCGGGTGGCTGGTTTGAACAAGTCGAGATTGACTTCACACCCCGATGTGAGGATGGCTCTTTGGAGTATACATCCATGCATAAGTGGTACCGATGGCTTCAAAAGGCTATGGAGATGTCGTGGCGACCTATTGGCCATAGCGTTAGGGAAACAGTATCTGCCTTAGAAAATCAGGGGTTTATCAACATCAATCATCAAGTAGTCGGGTTACCCATGAATCCTTGGCATACAGATGAGCATGAAAAAGAGGTGGGCAGATGGTATAACCTCGCGATTTTAGAGAGTGTAGAAACACTCAGCTTAGCCCCCTTCTGTCGAGTATTAGGTTTCTCGCCGGAAGACGTTCGGCGTCTGGCTACCGATGTCAAGAACGAAGCCAACAATAAGAAGCTGCATGGTTATAATATTCTTCACATCTATCAAGCGCAAAAACCATGTGAAGGATATGGGATATGAGGAAATTTCCTGTAGACTGGCTGCGGTTTCACTGGGTCCATCTCGAGGACGATATTGCCAGGGAGTATGGTTATGATCAAGCAGATGATGACCAGCTGAAGATTCTTGGCCTGGCATATACCGACGCAGAGGAGGAGTGGCATCGCACACATTCACAGATGTAGGGCGATCATGTGCAAGGCCAACCTTCTCAACAATGTGGCCATCCAAATCATGTCGACAAAGGGCATGCTAGTTAACGAAGACATACTATATTCAGCACTAAGAGCGGTGTCTAGAATTGATATTAAACCTCCAATTAAAGCTGTCACCATTTGTAATAGGATCGCTCACCTGATTGGCGATAATTTCATAGTCCTAGAACTGGAATTCGTCTGTTTCATTTCTCTAATTGTACCTTTGTGCTGGTTGGCGCCCCAAAAAGGCATACCTCCTTCCAAGGAACAGCTTGGACAGGTGGCAATTATCCTCATCGATCGCTTTTGTCGCCGCGACATCGAGAGCAGATACTTATATGGGTAAACCTGCTGTGCTAATAGCGCCATCAACCTCCGACTGCGCCATGCTCCATTTCCTGCTGGTACTCCCATGCGGAGCCTGCCAGCTTCGTATGCGGACGCATTCTATAGCCGTCGCTGTACATTGGATTCACCATGTTTCTTAGTTGTTGTGAGTTCTATTTAACACAGGAGGACGATAAAGGCGAAGAAGGGCGCAGCTGATTCCTTCATCAATGATTGGGTATGTACAATCATATATGTGATCCGCCATGTCTCTGAGTAAGCAGAATCTGCACTGAAGTGGTCCTTGAATCACGACTAGCCCAAGCCCGAAGCGTACTGGCATAACCTGATAGCGAGCCACTTCTACCGACCTGCCTTGCCGTGTGGTTTAGCTTGATCTATGATTGGTTGTAGCTCCAGACACGGCTTGGGTTTCAGCATCCCAGGATGCCAAAATCCTGGTTTGTATCATATGCAGACACATTCTCAGCCGCGGCACAATGAAGCTCAAGTTCCTATCACAGCAGGGCGATGAAGCAGAAAGATGTGGAGGTGAAGTCTCTCAATGGTTGGAATCATTGGACTGGCCCACCACATCCCTGGCCTCTACATCATCACCCCATGCCCAAAGCGTGCTGGCATAACCTGATAGTGAGTCTCTATTGGTTCTCTTTCACCGATCCATATCATTGTGCCAATAGTTGAATCACTGGCGGGCTGTGGCTGCGCAGGCAGGACTTAGGTTTCGGCATCCTAGGATGCTGAAATCCTGGGCTGTACAGCTATAAAGAGGCCTCCATCCGCACTTCTACCTTCTCTTCCTTGATTTCTTTACCACCATTGATCACTCTCAAAGCGTTCATCATGGATTCCGTTGTCTCCAGCCCACGACCAACAATTCCCCCGAGCCAAAGGAGATGTTCGCTCCTTGAGCTTTCTGAAAAGCTCCGAGAGCTGGCCGACATGCCGGTCAAGCCAGAAACGAAGGACATAGAGAGCGTGTCCGAGGTATGATTTGGACCATCATCACAGGAGAAGCGAGCTGATAGAATAGTTTCGCGACCTTATCCACCAACTTTGCCAAGAGGCACCGGCCGTTGCGCAAGCCATCGCTGCGGCAATACGAGAAAACATTCCAGACCCGTCTCCTCGCTTACCTTCGAAACGAAAACGGAGACAAGATCCGTCTTATCGGCCGAGTCACGCGGTGCAATTAGTTCCAAGGAAGAAGCAACGTACCGACGATAAAAACGCAGTTGATGGGCCTATGACTCCGGAGAGTCCAATTCCCGAGAGCGAAAGCCCGGAAACCGAGAATGCACTGGATTCTATGATTTGTGTTGACACCGCTGAACTCAGATCCGCGTCTAAGCATGAGAGCAAGCCAGACGTTCACTCGACGACGCTTGCCATGGATGAAGACAATGCCGCCAAAAGCGACACCATTCACTGTAACACGATGTCCATGGATCCCACCGGGCAGCGAGCAGAGTCGCCACCTGTGCCTGAACAGGATCCTACTGAGAGTATGTCCTTTCTGGATACCGTCCACCAGATGGTCAACATCGTCCACCTGCTCAACAGGTATCAAACCGATCTGCCACGTACTGTCCATCGAAGGATCCTGCAAAGTCTTCACACCACTCAGGAGCCGATCAGGGACTCAACTGCCCATCAATGGTCGGACGGGAGGATGTGGATGGAGGTGCTGGAGAGGGGATCTGCCACAAATCGGCGATGTTCCGTACTTAACATGCTGGAATATATAGGCGCCTCGAAGTGGTACGATGAGCAGATTGAACACGCAAAGCGCACAGTCTGTACCATGGAAAACAAACCTGTGGGTGAGAAGGGAGCAGCAACACATGTGCTGGACCGCATCACCCGGGAGCATAGCTTGCTGAGTAGAAAGACCATTACCAACCAGTGCTCCAGGGGAAAGAGATTGCGCGAGCTTGTCGAAAAGATCGGACTAGGGATCCTGATTAGCTCTAAGATCTGGTAAGATTCAACGAACCAGTTTATTTGCTATGCTTACCATGCACTTAGGGATTATACTAAGAGAACGGGACCCCAGTTCAACCAGCTAGTCCGAGACTTCAAGGCAGATACACAACGATTGGCACTGTTTCGGATTCTTACTCCACAGGTGGAACAACTGGTCCACAAAGGCTGCACGGATCCGGAAGCGTTGTACGGAGCTTTGAGAGAGAATGATATTGTCTCCGAGGATGAATTGCAAGAGATGAAAGCAAAACATCAATCAGAATCTGTGAGACTCCCGCATATAGCTCCTCTAGGGTTAGGGTTGAACTAATGCTCCACAGGGCTCAACTTCCGCAGTCACTCTAAGCAAGGCGGTCGACCGACTAACCGGTCAGGTCAGCACACAATTGTTCAACAAGCGGAAACTGGATGTAAATGACACGATTACAATCAATGGAAGTGTGGAACTCTCGATCGATTTATTCGCGCGACTCCGGGCAGGGGAATGGCTCGATTCTTGGGCCATCATGGCAGCCATGCGTATTTCGGACCGACCGGATTTTGTCAGATTTGGCGAGAGCATTCCATTAGACAGCATCGGAAGACATGGCCAGATGCGATCGATCAAGCGGCCTTTTCAGGTTTGGGCGGGAAAGATCGCAATGTTCCGGAGAGACAACAGTAGACCTCTCATATTCTACTGTCCCGTAAACCACGACAATTCACATTTCACGCTGCTCGAGGTCAACGACAGTGAAAAAGCCATTCGACATTACGACTCACAAGCACCACTGACCGCTATAAATGGCACGAAGAAGACACGAATCGCGGCTCTGGTCGAGGTTAGTCTCTCCGTAAGTGGGTGAATGCATTTGCTGATGATGACATAGGATGAATTTGGCGATCTAGGATACAAATATACCGAAGCGGTAAGCGTCTCACTTCCATTTATCTTGTAGATTCACCACTGACCTGTGTAGCCTACACCGCAACAGCGCGATGGCTGGAGTTGTGGCACTCGAGTGGTCTGGAGCTTCAGACGACTAGCCAATGGATTAGATATTGGGTCATGGGATACCGTGCTGAGCTCGGAACGGTTGAACATGGATATTGTAAGCGGGCTCCAGGCATCTGTTGAGTGGAACGCTATGCAGAAGTATAACCGAAGCCGCAAACGTGAACCCAAGACAAACGCACAAACTCCAGCCCGTTAAGTGAGGAATCTCAGAGCAGAGCGATATCGTATATTAGCCAGTCCTAGGAATGCTATCCTTATTAGGGAGGCGGGTGTCAAGCTCAATGTCCACCAGTGCGACGACTATGGAGCTCTACCGGCACGGAAAATCTATATTTCCTATACCCGGAGTTAAATTTACCAAACTAGGTCTAGCGTTACTTTGACAGTATTTGAAATGATCATACCCGATGTAATTGGCGCATGCTTCCCAAAACTCATTTCGAACATTATCACTATACGACACATGGCTTCATCATATGTGGAAGAGTTACTTCGTCAACTCGCAGAAGAGAGAGAACGTGCTGACAGAGAACGAGAGCGTGCCAATCGAGAGCGAGAACATGCCGACCGAGCAGAACGAAAACTTGCCGAGGAGCGAGAACATGCAGAACAAAAGCTTGCTGAGGAACGAGAACATGCAGAACAAATGCTTGCTGAGGAGCGAGAGCGCGCCAATCGAGCAGAGGCAAAACAGGCCCCTACAACTCTTGAACAATATCTCAGGCTTATCCAACAGCGCCTTGTGACAACCTTATTAGTCGAGTCCAACCCAGTCAATTCAGCATCAGGGTCTGTGACGGCCGTGAATGAGAAGTTTTACCCTTTGGAGCTATGTCGGTGGGACGATTTTGAGAAACAACTTGAGCGAACCTTCATTGAAATCAGTTCGGTTTTCTCGAGCAGATCTCTTTTTCCTTCCGAAACAGACATACTTGGCGTTCAGCGCGAACTCTCGCCTACCAGCCGAAAGGACGAGCAGGATATCCGACCATTTGTCCGAAGTGCGATCGAGAAACCAGCCGAGCGTATCGTGAGAGCTTATTACGACCTGACGAATCGGCCGGAGAAGTTCTGTTTCCAGAATAATGCTTATAGCCTGGAGTATCGAGATCCTGAGACAGAGATCGAACGTAGATCTCCTAGCAAAAGGAGATCTCCAGAACGCAAGAAAAGCCAGCCCATTCCCGACCGCTGGGGTATCTGTGAGGAAGAAGGAGGTCTGCGTCGGGTCTGTGTTGGAGAGTATAAAGCAGCGCACAAGGTACCGGACGAAGAAATCAGACAAGTTCTTGACACTGCATCCAAAAACCTGTTCCTGGAGGTGCTCTGGCGAAAGCAGTCGGGAACGACCAATTCCGAACAGGATAAAGCGAAGGAGCTTGTGGCACAGATTCTTTGCCAGGCGTTTCATTATATGATCCAAAGTGGCCTACTCTTTGGATACATAACGTCGGGCCGGACTCTAATTCTCCTTAGAGTTGACGAGTTCGCACAACAGAGGTTATATTTTCATTTCATTCCCGTGGATTTAACTAGACAAGCTCGTGAATCTGAAGCTCAGTATGCGCCAGCGACTCAATTAGCGACCTTTGCGCTCCTGGCACTGCGCGCAAGAGAGATGCCCCGTGATTGGATTGTACAGGCTGAAAATTGCGGCATTTATCAGTGGCCCCTGGTTCCTAATCCGGCATTACACCAAAACATCTCCCTGCAGCCTCAAACATATGGCGGAGAAACAAGTGAAAGTAGTGGAGAGAACGATGACCCGAATGACAGTGATTATGGTGCCTCTCAAAGACAATCTAGGTCCCAGCCGGACCAGCAATCCCGATCACAGAACGAGCGTCGACGGTCTCCACGGAAACGAACTGAACGTTCCGTCGGGGAATATTGCACACAGGCTTGTTTGCTCGGCCTTGTTCAAAAATCGCCGCTGGACGTGAGCTGCCCCAACTTTTCCATGCACAAGCGGAGCTCTGCTCGCGGGAAGCACCCGATTACCAAAGATGATCTTTGTTGTCTTCTTCGAAAGCAGCTTGATCGGAGCCTTGATCAAAGTTGCGAATGTCTAGATAGGAAAGGTTTTTTTGGAGATGTGGGTGTGCTTTTTAAAGTCACTCTGACCGAATATGGATACACATTTGTTGCCAAAGGCGTGCAGAAAGCGAATGAGCGCGACTTGGCTCATGAAATGAAGGTATACTCACATCTTGTGCCTTTACAAGGGAAGAATATCCCGGTCTGTCTTGGCAGCATAGCTCTTACTCGGCCATATCCCCTTGTCAGTATGGCAAAAGTGACGAAGATGTTGTTGATGTCGTGGGCTGGAACGAGTTTATGCTACAATACCTGGCCTGAAGGTGTTGACATCAAGAAAGAGACGGACAAAACACTACAGACATTAGCTCAGTCTGGCGTCCGTCATGATGACATTCGACAGTCCAATCTAGTATGGAACGCTGAACGACAGCGAGTGATGGCAATTGATTTGCAGCAGGCAACTATCACATCTGTTACAAAGCGACAGGCTTCACCTCCTGTGTTGCATACGCGCAAGCATAGGAAGATAGCACGTAGCTCATCTCATATCAAGGGGATTGTTATTTGATCCAAGAATTACGCTTACATAGTAGTTGCTCCTTGAGTCTATCCTAGTGCCACACCATCGCCTGAGATATCAAATACATACATAGTAAGTTGAATTCTCTTATTTGAACTCGCCCTATCAGTAGCTATGGACAGGAACCAAAATTATGAAGAATGAATTGAGTAAAGATGGAAGTGCATTTACAGAAATTTAAATTGTGAAACAGTGCGTTAATGTTTTTGATAGGATACTGTGGACTCCAACTGACTGAAACAAAAGTGTCAGGTGCTTACGTGGAAATAGGAAGTGTATGCATAGTTGATATTTCCAGAATAAAGACATGATAGGTTGGGCTTTCTTCTACGATCCGAGCTGAAGTCAGTTAGATTTGGCTAATGCTCTCCGAAGGATGTCTCTCGATCAACCGTCCATGCCCTCTTTCCAAACCGCGTCATTAAGATTCTCGTTGCAAATTCTCGAGAAACTTTCAACACCTCCAGCCAACTTCTTGGAATAAGAAACAAATAGTATTTCTCGCTCTCGGTCTTGAAAGTACCCTGTGGCGAATTATAAGATGTGTTCTCTCCAGAATCGGAAGCCATGGCGATCAAGTATGAACCACCACTGCCATGTGACTTGATCCAAAGCGCGACGTAATCCTCAAGAGAAACTGCCATGGAAATCAGCCAAGTTTGCGGCTTGCCGGTTGATGCTTCTTCCAAGAACGGTAGAATGGAGGCGAGCGATGGAAAAGCAAATTCTGAACGCGAGACGTCAGTAACATGCAAGATTTGATTTCAGAATACTAACCTGCTGGTACTCGGTATATTCTCATCGCGATCAGTTCCCTTTCAGCAGATGGGGATTTTGCAAGACTGTCTTCGTCATTGAGATCGTATCTCGACTTGAAAGCGTTCTCTTTTATACTAGAAGGCGCAAGATTCAGCATTTCAGATACTCTTTTAACCGGGAAAGAAAGAGGTTACGATAGATTTACCGTGTGATTATCAGAGCTCGAAGCCAGCCCCTCTCCATCTCAACGAGTCTTTGCATACTTCGCCATGTTGCCCATCTCGATGCATATCTGCTATCGATCACATAGCCCTGCACCAGATACGGCCTTTCTGATGTAATCGTATATGCACGAGAAAAATCAAAGAGAACGGTGTCATGAAAGTCACCTGGTAGGCGGAAATGATCCTCTTTAATGTCCCCGTGTGTGATTCCGATCGAATGTAGTGCCGTTAGTCGCTTGAGACGATCAATGAACAGGGATTCGTACCATCTCTTCTCTAAGGTCGAAAGGTTATTGTGTGTGTTCTCCTTTCGCAAAAGTTCTAAATCCTTGCTAAAGTAAGCAGGGACTGAATTGGAGCTAATGCAACGTGACGTGAGAGACGGTCGTAAGTATTCAATAACAAGAATTCTCTTATCCGGGCAGTCATAACATTCAGGGAAGTATGCCTTGGAGCCTTTTGAGGCTTGATATATTCTCTCATAAGCTCGTTTTTCCAAGATGAATGGATCGTAATCCTGCCTCACTCGGTCCAAAATAGATTCATTCAGAATCTCCGGGAAAGCTTCACGATAAGTTTTAATCAATCTCATGACCTCCTGATCACTGACTGGCTGGAACTAAGGTAGTATATTCTCAGTACTCTTCTCGTGGTTCGTTATTTTCGATACTCACTTGTTTAATCGCAAATAGTCGGTTATCTGCTGTAGCTCGCCACACAGAAATTGGATGCTTTTTATTCACCCTGATTCCTCCTTTGAATTGAAGTGCATTGTACTGATATGATTCAAGGCCTCCTTGCTCTGGTAATGAGAATGTTGTTTCCGACGCTGGTATTGCTGTAAATTTACTGAGAAACTCCTGTCGCCAGGAGCTTGTCTCGGGCGAATCCTGCATTTCCATGCTATCAAAGGAAGAGTTTGTGTGGGCATCCGATCAAATTAGAGGAGGTATCTGTGGGTGGAGGGCTCTATTTAAACATGTATACATGCGGAAAGTCTAATTAAACAAGGTCGCGAACTGGAGGTTGGGCCTCGATTTGTATTAGGTTTAGCGCAACGACTAGTCACTCACCGCTCTGTGGTACGCACCTTTTTAACTGGGCAGGTGTCTGTCAGAGAATCGTTGGACCACAGCCAATAAGTATGCAGGAAAATAGATTATCCGGACAGGGATGATCTTAGTGCGTTGAGTACGCTGGGCGCTCAGAGCGCTCCGAATACCGGAAGCACCCGCATGCTAGGGTTAGGGTATCATACCCAACAGGGCATTGGTATGATAGGAGTGATACCAGGCATACCCTACGGTATGATGGGACTATTACCAAGTATACCCAAGGGTATGAAGGCAATAAGATGGATAGGGTATATAAGGACGCTCATTTACCTTGTATTTAGTTTTACTCTATCGTCTTGAATTAACTGTTTAACCTTGAGTATTCTATTACTCATAGGTCTATTTAACTTAGGCCCTCTTGTTTATTACTTAGGCAACCTGCCCTTTTGTTATCAGAATACCATTTAACCGCCGTAAGTGACGAGTTTACTCTGATCTAGACGATTACGAATCATCGGTTTACGACAGTGTCCCTCCGACTCCCTCGTAGAAAGTCACCTCGGGGTGAGGGGCGTCAGTAAGTTGGACTGCAGGGTCTGGCTAAAGCTGAGAACTTTCCAAGTCGAATCCGGTGGACAAATCTTTATTGATTAGGAAGACGTGGTGGGAAACTCTCAAAAGAACACATTGACAACTTTACAACATCGACGAGCCTTCGAACAACCGACCTGCCTATCTATTACCGACCGATACTCGCTGGATTTCGCTCACCAGTACTCACCTGCCCTACCAGTTCAATCGCATGTCAATTCGCCAGTCCTTCGTCTGCTATCTGGAGTTGCCGCGAGCGAGGAAGTCAGCTACTTCGGCATTAATATGAGAAGTATCTTGGTAAATCGCTACTCAGGGAAGTGGTTCACGAAACTACATCGAGTATGGGCTAGAGAGGGCTTTGCAGCTGGTGCAGCTTTTCCTTTCGAAATGAGAGCATGACTACAATGTATGCAATGGAGAAGCAAATAGCGTATAGCTGCCCTTTAGGCTTGATGCCTCCGGGCATAATGAATTTACTAGTACTACTACTACTACCAACACAACACTGATTTGGGCTACAGTGTGAAAGCTGGACCTGACCCTGTAGGCCGCACCATTATCTGATATTTCTTCCAGTTTCCCTCCTTCTCTTGCCCTTGCTTTCAGGTGCTTCGTGACTTGGGCCATAATCGCTGTGGTCATCATCAACTGTCCGCAAACCGTTATGATTTCGCGCTTCCATGACTAGCAGCCACAGAGAAAGCTTCATCTGGAAGCTTCCATCGTTCGCAGATGGGCTCCATGGATCGATCGAAATTTTCACTCGTCCGACGTGGCGATCGGTCAATGCGGGTTCAAAAGACATATCACTAAAGCTACTCTCTAATCCGCTCGATGCCGTTGAAGTGGACTGAATTCGCGCGTGTTGATGATAACCCCTTTGAGTCCTTTTTGGCCGCGGAGAACGTTTCGATTCAGGCGACAGTATGAAATGACAACATACTATGTACTCTTCCGTTAGGATAAAACCAAAGGGTACGTCGAAACCCAGGCAATAATGTTGAAGTTGCTCCAATGGGAGGACGAGGTGACGTCCTTCTACATCCTCGTATCCATGTCGGTTACTACCAACTATTCTCGCAGCTGCGTGTACATTCCAACCAAGTTTTGTATCTCCACATACGATGGGCCGACGACCGCCGGATGCGGTTTCCATAGTTGCACCCCAATCAGGGCGAAGATCAGGTTGGTCAACGCTAATTTCACCACCAGGCCTGATGAAAGTGTCCTCAGGCAGAGCCTTGCCCACCGGTATTACAATTGTTGTGCCGTGAAGTTGCGCCAGACCATTTTCATCGTAAATGCTGTTGAAGCCACTTTGCTCGGCCACTTTTGTGAGGGAATCGGGCTCAATCGGTCTATCCAGTCGGCCTAGGAACTTCCTTTTGAGATCAGCAAACTCCGGCCAGTTTTCAATCCTTTCTATAGACTGCCATTGTCCGCCTTGAGTGAAGGTGCTCGCTCTTTCGAAAACGCGTAGCCTTGGATTGGGTTCCTGTAGATATCGCAATAGAGTGTACACCATTTTGGTTCACGAACTTAGTGGCTCTTCGTTTGATAAATCAACGTTTGTTGGAGTATGATGAGAAATACGATGAGAATGCAGTCTGCCTCTATCTATTTATACCTATAGATTCTTGTGATGACTATACCCCTCAAATCTTTTGTCGTCATCCCCCAGGGGTAGTAACTATTGGTAATTTGACGAGTTTGGCGGATGTAGTCACTAAATTGAGGGCCTTCTCGTAGCGAAAGGAACCTGGTGCAACAAATGACCCCTCACCATTGGGGTCTCGAGAGAGTGTGATGTAGCCTTTGCAGTGCACATACCCCGCAATAGGATATGGCGCAACGGCACTGAGATAGTTGGCACTGATTGAATGAAGATAACAAAGCCACAAGCAGCACAACCTTGATGCGTGCTTTTCCCAAATCATAATAGTCAATATGCATACTAAGTAAACCATTGTAAGTGACCGTCTACTCCACACACGAGTGCGATGGGTTAGCTGTCGCGGCTGTCTAGCCTCACACTATACATAGCATATGCAGATAGGCTGACGACCATTGAGTGAGGTGAGATTAGTGAATAGCGATAGACCAATAGGATTTGGCATCCACAAGGGCAGCCTACCTCGTATTGCGATGCGTTGTTGCCTAGCCCATTCTAATTTAGGATAGCACGATAAGCGGATCTCAAGCCACGTGCATTTCATCTCATCAAATCACACTTACGGATTAGTTAGCCGAAGAGTGAACGTCGTAATTCTCACTGGCCAGCATCTCTTCCACGGCTGGTTGGACGAAAAGTGTCCGAATTACGCTTGGCCTTAGGGTTTCAGTATCAACGATCTACCCATTCATCCGTACAGCCCTTAGGCTTAAAATCATTGCTTTTACAAGCAATCAATTAAGGGACAGTGGAGCGAGATTTTCAACGACTGGCCGTCAGACATGGCGATCTACACGATTCTAACATACTCTGGAATGAGGAGCTGCGTTGCGTACAGTTCATTGATTTCCACGGAGCTTAACTATCACAAACTAAAAAGCACACACAGACTGCCACGGATCCATCGCGTCCGAGCAAAATGAGGTTCATGAATCACACAAGGAACCCCCAACCCATGCCGACCTGAGCTGGAAATTGACGGGAAAGAGATCGTGCTGACCTTGAAGTGTCCTATCACCACAATGAAAGAGTCCCTTCCACGAATTAATTTTGACATCGTTTCCTGCCGCTTTTAGGCGGTCGCCGAAGTCTCGGGCTTCGGTAGATAAACAATCTACTTCCGCAATGTCTATCAAAGTCCGCGGAAGGCCGACAAGGTCTTGAACAGCTGCGGTGTATGGGACAGTATAGATCGTGACTGACTCTTTCTCATCTCCAAGATAGCATGACCAGAAAAATTTGCCATTTTTCTGTGTGTGGGCTGGTGAATACGAAAATTCCTTCAATGCCATTCTGCTAGTATGGTCAAGCATCGGATTATAAAGCATCTGTCCGCATATCCGCGGTTTCTCTTCGTCCTGACTATCACGAACACGGAGAGCGACACCGACGGCCAGATTCGCACCGGCAGAGCGTCCAACGAGGAGCACCCGGTCATTGATCCCAAGAGCCTTTCGTTCCTTCCACACTTCTAACAGTCCATAGTAACAATCTTCCAGCTGGGTAGGGGCTTTCCACTCCGGTGCAAGACGGTACTTCACAGTCGCAACTAGCGCCTTGTGATTGTGGATCAAAGGAATGATTGTTCTCATGCCGCTCAATGGGTCGCCAGATACGAACCCACCGCCGTGGATATAGTAAAAACATGGACGACTGCCGACTGGACTGTCATCTGAAGGACGAAAAATGGTCAAATTGATTATGTAGCCGTCGCGCTCGAATGACCACTCCACATGTTCAAGATTGGCGGCGTATTGAGCGTGATACTCCTTCAGAAAAGATTTTGCATTGTATCCAGTTGCTGCGTCTCTGTATTCTTGCAGTTGTTCTTTAGTTGTTACTTCGTAAGGCCTTTGACATATCTCTTCAAGAGCCGATCTGAGTCGAGGATGACATGCTTGAACTGCTTCGTCAATCGAAGTCTCGACTGTGCGTCGGCGTTGTAACTGGCGACCTGAAATATACAAGGGTTGTTGATCTGACATTGTATCTAAAGGATGGTTTTGAAGGATAAAGATCTATTGATCAAAAGTTGGAAGTTACCAGCGCTTTGGCAGTATTTATATGCGCAGTTGCAAATTACCTGTAGTGTCGTTCATCATCCTGGTAGATGCAATCTTTTCTAGGTGGTGCCTCAGCTTGGTATCACATTTTTCTAAGGTTGGACCCATCTTTGATCAACAATCGTAGTGGCCTTCGACCCTTGTGCTTGAGTTCTGGGTCTAATTTTTAACCTGAATAAGAAAATGGGGCAGCTGACTTTTCACTACGTATCTGTCAAAAATTTGATATTGACGCAACAGTAGTAGAGTGCTTGTTCTCGTTTCGACGTTCGTGTTGGGATGGATAATCTACAAAATCCAAAATTCGGTGCTCTCGTGGATCAACTCCGTTTGCCCTATATTGGCTCTACATAGCTTCTAACTATTTGGCCCTTGTGTGCCCCACTATGAATGCTAGCTGCAAGGCGGCCTTAAATGGCAGAAAAGTGCATCGGGTAGTAATAGCCCCGCGACGTCGAAATCATGAATGAAGTTAAATACTAACTGATTTGTGTATGCGAAGCTTCCTCTCATTTTTCTTCTTCTTGGATTGAGATAGTAATTACGGTTCGTTCTCATCTTGCTTACTATAACGTGTGATACATGGAGCTAACTGGCACAGTCAGCTGGCCATGGAACGCCGCACCATCAGCGCCGAAGCTCTCGACAAGCTGAGAGTCGTTGCAGATTGGTTTCAACAACCAGGCATAAAAGTCAAAACTATCTCTGCAAATATGTCCAAATGCATTGATCCTGCTCGGTCTTCCAAGATCGCGCCCTTACTTGTGGAGCTAGGCCACAGGGATAAGGTATGTACACCTCATAATTTATTGCACCGAAGCCTACTAACACTATCAGGGTCACTCTCTTTGGCGACTTTCTGGAAAATCAGTATTTTACAAAGACCCCGGCTTCGATAATCTATTCTACCCCTTCGCGCCCGTTGAAGTTGATGGCACAAAGCTCGAGCCGGGAGATTTCCTACGATTCGTGGAGGACAAGCCTTTGACTGCGGAATTAGATTGTCTTATTATATGTGTCCCCGAGATTGACAAGGAGAGTTGACTTTTGATTGCTTGCAAACGTCTTATTAGACATACATATTGTACATACCCATACCCGCAGGATCAACTTGCGAAGTCCCCGTGAAATTGTTTTTATCCCGTGTAGAGTCCCAAAGTTGCCAGGAGATCGTCGTCATTCAAGTTGAGGAAATCCATATTTGTTGAAGGATGCACTCCCAGCGCGGCTATATATTCGCTGTCGCTGGGACCTAAGAAATCCATGTTCATTGTAGGATGTATTCCTGAGGTTGCCAGGAGATCGCCGTCATTCGAGTCGAGGAAATCCATATTTGTTGAAGGATGGACTCCCAGCGCGGCTATATTACTAGAATCCAAGGAATCCATATCCGTTGCAGGATTTCCCGAGATTGCCAGGAGCTCGCCATCATTCGAGGCAACCGGTATTTGAGCGTAGTTTGCGGAATTTTGGGTCGACTCGCTTTGCTGAGAATAGCGAGCAGGCTGCCTGAAACCCTCTGAATTTTGCGGTAGTGAGAATGAGTCCAGTGGAGTTGCCAGAGCTGCCTGCTGGTTCCGAATAGCAAGCGAAGCAGCCTGTTGAGACGACGGCTCATTTTTATCTGACTGTAATTGTGGATTGCAACCTGCTCCAGCTGGCATCCATTGGCTTGAGGCTATCTGTAATGGCTGCAAAGATACTGTACGGGGTCCTTGGCGCATATTTGCTTGATGGCGACGTTTGGAGATTAAATCTGTCACATTATCGTTTGAGGCTGGAGCAGATTGGAAAGGCTCGTTACCCATAACGTGGGCACAGGACTCTGACAGATCATGACGAAAGCTTCTCGCTCGAGTTTGCTGCGTAGGAATGCTCTCGTCATTGACCACGCTTGAATCATTTTGATAAACAAAGAGTGCACTGTCCAGTCCAGTTGAGCTTGCGCTGAGACGTGCAGAACTAGGATCCTCGGCATTCTGAATTTGAAATGGCGCTGAATTTGATTCGACTTGTCTAGCTATCGGATCGGTAATGTGATCGGTTGGGTCGGCTGAAAGTCCATGGACATCATCGTTGACATTTCGTGTCATCTGATTGAGTATTTGTGCAGCGGCGCTGTCACTAAGTACTTGATCCGAAACATCACGGGCTGGAGCGCCCTCGGAGCGCGGCTTCTCAGCGGCTGTTGCACGTTGCTTTTTCCTTTGGCGAGCTCCTGTATGATCTTTTCTATATCGCTTTTTCCTGCCTTTGTCCGCTGTAATTTCATAGCACCATTGAAGTTTTTGACTATGGTAATCTAACACCTTCTTCGCAACTTTTCCTGCTTCCACAGCTTCTTCGCCTTTCCATAATCCTTCAATATGTTCGACAGATTTATCGTAGTCGGTCCCCACGAGATGTCTTGGTGTAAATCTGTCAACCATTAGTATAGATCAAGGTTAAGGAAACTAAAAAGCTTACATATCAGGGATGGCTTTTATGAACAGAACCCCATATATGCTATTATCCACAGTGCCCTCTCCAGGAACCTGCGCGATCTCGACGCAGAACTCGTGCATTTTTCGTCCCCGAGTAGCCATTTCAGAGTATTTTTTAATGATTTCAGAGCGTTTTTGGGCGTCATCATCATCCTTGCAGTCTCTCATCACAACCTTTGATTCTACGAGAAAGTTTTTGACATTCTCGGTCGTCACAGAAGAGACGTTTGAAAACGCTCGTTGATAGAGATGGTAGACAGCAAGTTCCACAAATCTTCGTAGAACCAGTACCTCATCTACTCCCTTCTTCAATTGGTATGCACTCTCGAGAAAAGCTTTTGTTTTCTCCTCATGATCGAAGTAGCGTTGCACTTCAACATCGCTTTCCCAGAAGACCCTGGCGGATTCTATGTACTGAGGAAAACGATCTTGGTGTGATAGTTCCAGTTTTTTGATCTCTTGAATCGCTTTTAAATTTGCGCTTGAAGAACCCGAGGCCTTTCCAAATGACTTCTTAAGTTCATTATATAGACCTTTAAAGAATTGGCGAGTTTTTTCGTCGTCCTTCTTCACAGAACCAAATGGATCATTTTCTGGAAGTGTACTCAAGGTGTCTATGACTTGGCGATTAGAAGGGACTTTGGACATCTTGTAGGTGAAGTCTTCTTTGTAGGAACATAGGAATAATCGTCGGCGTATCCAAGGAGAACTTCAAGGTGTTCATCTGTCAGATCTCTATTACTATCCGCGCTAATGCGCTTCAAGGAGCCGGTAGTTGACGCTAACCAGAAGG